CCGTGGACAGGGCGACGCTCGTCACCAATGTAGCAAAGAACCGTCCGGAAGCCGAAGCAGGCTGTGAACCATTCGTCGAAATATGCCCCCATCCGATAAGCGTCAACCATGGCCTGGTGAAGATTGATGACTTGCCGGTCGAGACCCGAGACGTCAGGGTCCAGAGGCACGCGGAGGACGACGCTCTGTTCCGGACGCGGCGATACCAGCGGATCTCTCGGGGCCTGATATCGCACATGAATCTCACCGCCGACAATCTCCTGGACGAAGCGGCTGCACTCGGGATACCGGTCAAGCTGGATCTTGGCCAGCTCCCCGTCGTCGCCGACTTTAAAGAGCATGAAGCGTCTGTCATACTTGACCCCCTGGGGGCCGAGATGAGCCTTGTGGAGCGGAATCCCGCGGAGGGCCTTGATAGGATAGACCCAAATCTGGGGTAAAGAGAGGAGTCGTCAGCAACCTTATTTTCATTTGACTGCCCTGCCCGGCTAAGATGCTTACATACCGCCGTTATCTTCATGGCTGGCGCGATTGAGCAAAGTCCAATAGGGCTGGCACCAAGCAGCGCTGTTCAGTTTGAATGGAAGAAGAAGAGAAAGAGAATGTGCTGTTCTGCCCGAAACGCCGCCCGCTGCTCTTGTCTTGTACAACGTCGAATTCCTGTGAATCACGTACTCCGTACTCCGTAGATACATGCTATTTCAAGCCAAAGGGCCCGATTACCCAAACCGGTCGTCATGCTGCCGGTCTGGCGCGCCCTTCCTCGGCAATTGATGTGCTAATACGAGTATGCACCTTGTCCTTGTTGCTTTAGTAGGTATTGATTGCAAAGTAAGCAAACTGGACTGTCATTCATCCTCCGCGGAAGCGATCCCTAGACTCTTCGGCTTTAGTCAATTGACTTTATTTCTTCGCCGTGCGTGGGGGCAGTGATAACATGGAGTCGGCGATTACGACTTACACAGACACGCCGATAATTCCATCGCGTGCCGGACTTTGGCGGATGCGATTTGACACTGTTCGTGGAGCCTGACATCTCGCCTTCATTTTCCACCTGCTCACCTTTCATATATCATTTCGTCGTGTTCGCATATTTGCCCTAGCTGAATGTTGGAATAGTCTAGCAATGATTTGCCTTCGAGGTGAGTTTAGCCGAGAATCAACGCGGGCAGCAAGACGCCATGGCGGCGCTCAAAGCATCTCACAAACACTCCAACTGACTCATGGTCCACCTAGTCAAAAAAGGAGTAGCAAGATCAATCTCCCAAAGACTGTTTGGGTGAGATGGCTATGAATAAGTCAAACTACAGTCAAAGACTTTGCCCAAATCCAATCTTGGCGTTTCCATCTCCCCTTTCTTCCATAGACGGCAGTTGCAGGGACCAAAAACACGGGCATACAGATATGTAGCCCACAGAGTCTGCTGATGCGTTTCCAGGGCCATGTTGGCAGGTTCACTGACAGCACGCTAAGAACGACTCGTCTAACGATAGTGTCAAGCAGCTGTCTCACCTACTCGACAGCTAAACCAACAACTATTTCGTCTTGCGAGCTGACTCATATTCCTCCACAGTTGAAGTCGTGATCCGTCATCAGAGAAAGCATGTATGACTTCAACAGCATGCACTCCGTACTCCTCACGAATGCCCAACTCTGGAGAGCGGGGAAGAGGGGAATGCTCCCTTGTCGAGTGGATGGAGCCCTTGAACAGTAACGGGCATGTGTGAGCGAAACCCCCACCAGGCTCTGCGATTGATGTTGCCGGCATACTGGAGATCTCTGACGTATCGTCAGGGCACTCGGCCTTTGAAAGCAAGCTGTTGATCGCTTGTCGCTGGCTGGGGGTTTGATGAGCGCCGACACGCTGCATGCATGCACACGAGTACTCGTAATACTCGACAAACCTTCCAGCCTTGTTGATGCTCTCTTGTGCACCCTACCGGCTCTCACGGCCGATATTTCTCGAAAACTTGCTCAAACATCATCGCGACATCCCGTTCAAACCGCCTTGGCAAGAAAACGGAGCGGTCTCAACTGCTCAAATACGTAAACAGTCGGCACTGAGAGTTTTGGACGCGTACGCTCTGTATACGTCAGCGGTGGATCGGATTACCCTTGTTCTTCCGTTGGAAGACAACAACCCCCTCCAGAAGAAACGTCGCCAAGGGAAGAGGGTCGATGCTAGCTTGATAGCTTAAGTGGCCGTGTTACCGAAAGATTGAGCGAGGGCTGACCCTGATCGGAGGTGGTGATGTTGCCGCTATTTGGCTTTGGACGTATCGTATCACTATCTATCTGCCAGGACAAAGAATTAGGTACTGTGCTGTAGCACAGTATGGGTGCTACATAGCGGTGATAGAGACGTAGTAGGTAGTAGTATTAGTGATTACTACCCGCGCAAACCACGCTCCCGGGACAGGGCATGTGGTGGATGTGATACATCGAAAATCATCCTTGGTGAGTGCGCGGACCGGTTGCTGATTCGCTCGGTTTTGGTTATCTTTCGTGATCTTGGGGGTGGGACGAGATGGGATATGGGCATGGCCTTGACTGATAGAGCCCAGGCAACAAAGTCGTAATATAGTAGCATCCATGAAGCACGAGAGGAGGGGTTGAAGCCGATATGATCCTTCAGACCTGCACATCGGCCGGTTGGCTGGCTGGCTCGAGGATAAAAGCGTGAAAGGTGATTTGCTGGTCACGGCAGATGCAGGCAAGTTGAGCAGATTAGATTGGCCGATAATGCAAGCGGGAAGAGAAGGAAACGACGCCCGCTCCTCATTCGCAGCTGCATGCACGCAAGGTTGGATCGTATACCTAGTATACAGTAGCAAGCATGCTTGATGCTTGATGCTTGGTGCTTGGTGCTAGAGCAGAGCGACGGCCTGTATCATGCGCGGACGGGACGCCGAATCCATCCGGCGGTTTGCTCCATCTCCATCGCTCAATCCGCAGCCGCATTTGCGCAATTTGGACCCCGATAGCCGTGTTTGCTTGGCAGCCCCTCGAGGCCGCGTGCGTGCTGCTGCCCATGCGGAACGTCGAAAAGCCAATCGAGAGGAGCAGCTTACAACGGTGGCGTCGCTGTTGGTTGACGCCTCGTCCCGTCTATTGGACGACTTGCTCCCCTTGTTCCGTCTTATCGCGTGCCCTCCAGCTTCAGACTGGCCAACCGGGGGAGGCCCAGACCGTTGTCGAGAGAGTTGTGGCGCTTGGGAAATCGCTAGCCCTGGTTGGGTTCAAGGTGGAGGAGACGGACGGGTTTGAAACCCCAGGTTTGTTTGAGCTGTGTCCGGGCAAGGGCTGTTTTAGCTTGATGGGGATTTCCGTTGGTTTGCGGGAGAGCACGAGATGCTGCTGTTGAATGGCATGGCATGACATGTGAGAGTATGTAGAAGCAAGCAAGCAAGAGGGTGAAGAAGTAAAGCTTGGAGTTTGTATCTACGGCACGGTGGTTGGATGGTACGTGCTTCCTTGCTGTAACTTCCATCGTAGGTAATGCTGAACCAAAAGATCAGTCCATGTTGGGCGTCAGTTGCCGGTGCTGCAGGTGCTGCCGCCGCCGCTGCATTTTGCATTTGCCCGCTGTTTGATCGTCCACAAAAAAAAACTTAGCAGGCCAAACCTCCACTTTCTCCCTACAAAGCTGGCGTCTCCTCTTCCCCACCACCTCACACACTCCTGGCAGTCACTTATTGCTCGCATCTTTGGTCAAGTGAACAATTTCAAGGTCCAGCTACAGTAGCTGATAATGCTAGCCAAAGACCTCACGACGCTACAGCTCTTCAGCTCGCCTTGACTGACAACGCTCAAGTGGAGGTGACAAGCTCTAGAGAGGTCCAAGATGGTCCGTGGTCAGCCACCGCCCGCTTTTACACTCGCACTATCAACACGCGGAGATTCCAACGGGAAAAGCCGCTTCGTCTTGATGTTTTTTTTTATGTTTATGCGGTGTTTGTCCTTGGTACTCGATGCTTTTGTGTAAATGGCTGCTACTGAACAGGTATTGCCAGGGGAGCGGCTACATCCCTGGAACCAAAAGAGGGCCAGGGGCCTTGTCTGTCTCGCCTCGCCTCGCCTGGCCTCGCTTGGTTTTGGGCCTGGCTGCGTACTGTGCTTGTGCTGTAGGTGCAAGGTTTTGCTCTCTTACATGAGCGAAAATGCCGAGTCTTGGTTCGTCGATGACTCTACCTCCCACTTGCTTCCCACTTGCTACTACTCGTACTAGGGAGGTCGATGGGCTTGACAGCCGTCCCCTTCTAGTGTACGGAGTAATTGATGCAGATCTTGCAGATTAGAATGCGGCCTGTTCTTTTATCTATCCCCCCAGGCCCCCTTCCGGCTCGTGCTTCTTCTTCCTCAGCTTCTTCCCATAACCAAGTACTGGTAATACTTGACACTCGCCTGCTTGCTTCACCAGCCGTCTCTTACACCGTTTGGGATTTCTGAAACGGACAGGTTTGCCTTTAACCTTATCGATCCCCTTGTATCACTTTGTTTGTCAACATACATATTGCATGCGCTGCCCGGCATAGGCGCCCGTCACATCCTGTGCGCCGTCTGTTTGCTGCTGCGTTTATACCCCATTCTTACACAAGACTTTGAGAAATCACTCGCTCACACCTTTCCGGAATCCTGGAGGCCTGGAGCCCCAGTTCTCCAGCTAATATCTCCATAAATCTACATCTTTATCTCGTCCATCTTGTCCATCTTCTTCTTCTTCTTCTTCCATTCTCGTTCCATCTCATATTGCTCTCCTGCTTGCTTGCATACCTACATACAGCCTTATTTCCTCCTCCTTACTCTTTGGGTTGCCAGGCTGCGGCTAAATCAGAAAGCTCCCGCGCTTCTGTAGGACCCTTTATTACCGCGGTTAATATTCTAAATTATTTTCCCCGAGGCCACCGTCCCCTCCGCCGTTGTTTATCTCACCTTGAGTACCCAAGAGGCTGGGCGTTATCCTGCATTAGGGAGGTGGGAAGATACCACTGCATGACACCATGGAGGAAGCTCAACGCCTCGTGGGTGTGCGCGAGCTGGATCTCGCCAACTACGGGCCAGTCTCTGTGGTGGACAGAATTAATCTCGTGCAGGGCTTGAGAACAAGTGCCGGTAAGGCTTTTCTTTTTCTTGTTTTTATCTTCTTTCACTTTCCATTTCCTCTTCATCTTCATTTTCTTCTTGCGGCATAAAATCCGTGCGCCTACACTTTTACTATGAGCTCAAATGGCTCAAATTTTTCCCCATCCCATCTCCCCCACCATCATTGTCAGCTACCCATAGTGTACTTCCGGGCTCCAAGCTTAGTACTACTTACATCGACACCAAACATTTCTCATCAACAAGCTTCTCACTAACTTTGACAGCCTTCTTCACATTTCTGCGAGCAAATCTTGCTCTCAGTGCTACATCACCATCGTCACCTATTTCCTCTTATGCGCCAACGCCATACCTCGAGCCTTATTCGCATCACCAGTTTCCCATCCCACCGTCTCCTTCGCCTCTCAGCTCCTCGACGTCCTTCTCAGACTCTCACTCCTACACTGGTGCCGATGCCTCTGCTCCTCTTGACCCTCTCGATGATGTTCCTCCTCTGTCCCTGGAGCCGCTGCTCACCTACGATGACAAAGTCGCTGGCCTCAATCTCATTGCCGACTCGATAGCGCAGATGAAACAGCGGGCTGCTCACTCCATGGTCTTTCACCCCCTATGCATGGGCATCCTGTTCATGGCATGGGCCGGCATCTATCGCTGGTCGTATGTCCCCTCAACCGAGGATCCCAGCATGGCTCTCCTGCTCTCATGCGGTGTAACCATGACCTATCTCACTGCTATACGCTACTTTACAGACGGCTACGTAAAGCTCGCCGAGAACATGCGTTGGTCGTGGCTCGAGGGGTCCGGCAGTATCGAAGGTGATCTCCTCATTGGCGCGCGCTATGGTGGCGCTTTGATTGGAGTCCTGGTCCTCCGGCTAGAGCCTCGCTTTTCCTCCCTTTCATCGGGGGGCAGCAAGCGCAGGAACAGGAGCAGGAGCGTGAGCTTCCGGGGAGGTAAGGGCGTTATCCGGGCATGGACCACACGCCTCCGGTATCGTGGCAAGGGCATCGGCCGAGACCTCCTCGATGGCGCCATCCGCATTGTCAAGGACCGCTGCGGAAAGGATGCCGAGGTTGGTTTTGCGCAGGAGCATGCTAACAGCACCATGCTACTGCCGGCCATGTTCAACGGAGCGTTTCGTAGAGGTGAGATTCGTGCTGCCAAGGCGCTGGAGAAGGCGTTGGAGGAGTGGGAGTCGAGCAAGAGAAAGAAGTGGTAATGGATATCAGCGTTCCCTGGAGGAGCTTGATCACGAGGTGCCCGGAAGTGGACCAGGTTTTTTGGATTTGCTGCGAGAATTCCTTCATTAGAGATACCCCATATGATTTCATACTTTTGTCTTTTGCGATGCGTGGCTATTGTTTGCTTCATACACATTAATGCTCGTCCATATTAGGGATTTATAATAGCGCATAACTGAAATGTCTTCTTATTTCTCGTCAGTTCTCATACACATGAACAAAGTCAAGACCAACAGCATCATCACTGTCTCAAATAAACACTCAAAGCACATTGCCTCCGAACTTGCTAAATGCCCCAGCTGGTAACCAAATCAAAGAAAATTACAATAGAAACAACAGAGACCAAGAGCCATAGCGTCACAGCTCATGGCTCACCGATGCGATCCGCCCTGTAAGGCAGTCTTCTGGCCACCCTCGCACGGCGACTCTTTGGTTCTTTCCACAGGTCGTCTTTGCTAAAATAATACAAAGTCCTTCCTCGACGTTTTAGAGAGTGAAGAATCTGCAAATTCGTACAAGTCAGCTTGGCTTCTTCTTCTTCTTCTTTTCACGCGGTTGTCAAAGAATAGGGAGGATCAAGGCCTTACATCTTCCAAGGTTACCGTCTTGGCTCGCCGGTATTCAACATACGTCACAGCATCGCGAAGAACCTAGAGAGAGAGAGAGCGAAAGCGCACATTAGTAAAAGAGAGGGGTGCAGAGATGATAATCGGATCAGGGGTACTCACCCCTTGCAGAAAAGTCTTCAACGCAAGTCTCGTTTCGTCATAAACCGTGGCAGAGATACGCTTGACTCCTCCACGTCGAGCCAATCGCCTGTACAAACGTAACCCAAAAGCAGTGGTTAGCAAAAGTGACGTCGTCCACCATCCTTGGGTTCACACTCCTTCTCATGGAACACCCTTGGCATATCGCACGGCTTCACTTACCGGATAGCAGGCTTCGCTATTTTCATGAGTTAGCAATCCAACTTGGCTCCCAAAATGCAAATAGAATGAGGTGTGAGAGGGAGAGATGCGAGAATAGAGAGAACGTACTTATCCCATGTATCGAATCCTTCAAAATTTTGCTGTTACCAAAGCATAGCCGCGTTAGACTCATCTCATTCCACATCCTTACATAGCCATCATCAGTCGGAAAAGCAGCATGTAACTTACCGGTGTCGCTTCGTGCCGCCACCGATGGTCTTCCCTCCCAAGTCCGGCCTCTTGGCGCCTTGGCTCGAGCCCGGCCCCCCACGGTTAGGGATCGTCGGAGGCATACTGATCGTGACAGATAAGATGCTTTATCGCACAAAACGTAGGTGAAAACACTTGGAGTTCAAACACAAACAAACAGCTCGAAAACAGTCGAAAGTTGCTTTTTCCCCAGAAAGAAAAGAGAAGAAGCTTGCTTCTGGGCGCCTGTTGAAACTTGGGGGGTTGTTGTTGTTGTTGGTTGATTGAGTTACTAAGTTGCTGGGTAAGTTCCGAGGTGGGGCACGTGACTAAGAAACCCAATTCACTGCAACTTCATCCTTACCTCTGCCACGCCTTTGCCTAGAGCTTTGGAAACCTTGACATTTAATATCTGATATCAGGGCGGATATCTTAGCGCACCGAGCTCTCCAGATTAGATAGTGTCAAATCGTGGGCAATCATCAACTTAGATGAAACTAAACGGTAGTACAGCATGTGGATCATCTCTTCTGAGATCGATCTGGGCTAAAGACAAACACCACATAAAGCAAACACGGGTAGTCATTCAAAGGCACGGAATAAAGATGGGCAGCGAAGCGCAAAAATGGCTCTAAATATATTTTTCGTTGGGAACAGCAAAGTCAACTTTTTGTTTGTGTGTGACACTGGCCCCGCCTCTTTTGTTTGTTTGTTTTTTTCCTTTTCTAGACGCCCTGAGGCTTCTTGCTCCTCTTCCTCTTCCTCTGACCATCTGCGACTTCATCCTGCGGGCTGCATTCCAGTGCAGCCGCGTTCAAGTCAAAACGAGGGTATCGATTGCTCAACCATCTCCATCACTCACCAACCATTTTCGTCCACATTAAAGCCATCCCGGGTCATCTAAATTAAAAGTATTGGGGGAATGGAGTATAAAACACAAATGAAAATAGGCAACAACAAAAAATTACCGTAAAACGCCAAGACTTTTGTTTTCGTCGTTTCGGTTCCTCGAAAAGAATGGGTAGGCTTGATGTGGTTGATGCGCGCGTCGCTGTTGACATCAAATCAAAGTTTCGTACAAAGGGTATTAGATTGAGCAAGTTTTGTCAACATTCACAGCGCATCCGCCATTGCCACGTCCTAGGGCAAAGGGGAGAGGGATGATTGCGTTGGTGAGCATGTGGTGGTTATCGAAAGTGCAATCACGCAACGACTTCTGCGGGGGCGGCAGCACCCTCCAACTCCGGGGCAGCATCTTTGGCTTCCGTTATAGCATGCTCAGATGCGTCTGGAGTTTGCTCTACTTCTGCTTCGGTGGAAGCCTCAGCAGCAGTCTCAATAGCCACCTCAGCGGCTGCCTCTGCAGTTGGCTCTACAGATGGCTCTTCGGTCGCTTCGGTGGCCGGCTCTGCAGCTGTCTCAACTGCTTCTCCTGCAGCCTCTTCCGCAGTCAGTTCTGTATGCTGTTCAACAGTGGCTTCTGATGATGGCTCAACAGCACCATCAACAGGAGCACCTGTTGGTGCTTCAATGGTTTCGGTAACATGCTCTTCAGCAGCTACCTCCGCCATATGGGCATCAACCATCAACTCAGGGGCGACGGCGACGGCGACTGCGGCCAGTGCATCAGCCGCTTCTGCCTTGACAGCCTCTTCAGAGTCAATGATACGGGCCTTTTTATAGGGTCGCGAGTCCGCTTCACTCAGAGCCTCCCTGGTGGCTCTCAGCTCAAGCTCCAGTTCATCGAGGCGTCGTTTGAGATTGTTCTCTCTCCGATGGCTATCCTCCAGCTGAATGCGGAGTTGGTTCTCCATCTCCTTGCTGGCATCCAACTGGGCTCGCAGTTGAGTGTGCTCAACACCGGCAACTTCTTGGCCTCTGAGCGCTGCGGAGGCTGCCGCCTCTTGCTGCTCAAGCTGGCTCAGACGGCCGCGGAACAATTCATTTATGAATTCGAGCTCTCTGACTCTCGTCTTCAAGCTGGAATTGTTTGCAATGAGTTGCTCTTGTGTCTGAGGAGATTCAAGTCCGCGATCTCCATTCATAGGTGAGCCAGCGCGCCCCTCTCCGCCATTGAAGCCGCCAACGCCTTGCTGGGACGGATCGTCCACCATGAAAGCGGGCAGTGAGTGGTTATACATTGAGGGAGTTCCGGTTCGAGAGATAGGCGAGTCCGGGCCCTCACCATTCGCCTTTTGCGCTCGGCGAATAGCCTGCGCCGCAGTGCTCTCGGCGCTGTTGGGATCCGTCGCGAGGGGGAAGCCGTGTTGCTGCTACATTTGAGGCATCGCGGTTAGCAAAAGGGAGCCACGCGCAGCGTGCCTTGACGTGTTACCAACCTTTCGTTTCGGAGCAAGATCAGGGCGCATCGTCTTTACGCGATTTCGGCTCTTGATAACGTCCGTCTTGAGAGATATCGGCCGGGGTCGTCCATGCAGCTTCAGGAAAAGTCCGCACGCATTGCAGAGGACAGATCCAAACTCGTCGCGTCGCCATAACGGCGTTGTCGACGTTCCGCAGTTTTGGCAGACGGGCTGCGTTGATCCATTAGTTGCCATCATGATGTCGGCTAGCACTGGGTGATGGGGGAATGCGATTAGGGAATCGATTAGGGAGAAAGGCCGATAGATATTATCATCATCGATAAGGATGACGGAACAGAGAAAAAAAACTTTGGGCCCCCGGTCGACCGATAAGGCCAAGATAAACCGGGCACGCACCGACGTGGGTGGGTGGGAATTGCCTGTTTGGGCTTAGGGGTGAAGATTCTTGCGATAAGGCACGTGATTGCGATAATGATATGAGATAAGATGTAAAAGTTGGAATATGCCAGCTCCGATTGGCCCGCTGTCGGATCGGCAGTTTTGGTGTTGGAGGCGCAACAGGACGGCGGCATTTCGTACATGGAAGGGGGAAAAGAGGGCAGCAGGACGAGGATATCGAGGAAGGAAAACACAGACTTACCATGTTGCCGTTTGTGCCACCACTAGTAGCAGCGGGAGAAACGCCATGATACATCTGGTTCTGAGGAATTGGCGGCGGCCTAGTAGACGCGAAGAGTCAGTGCCAAAAACAACATTACGATCCAAGTGCTCGAGATGCCAATCTTGCCACGGCCGATATTGCGCCAGGCACAACAAGAGAAGGCATTGTATGGTTTCAAACTCGAATGCAAGCGCAGTACCTTTGTTGTGGAGCTTCAGCTGTCGCGTTGCTTGCTGCAAGGGAGGCAATGCCGGGCAGTTGCTGCACATTGGCAGATGCGGAAGTAGACGTCGAGCTTGGTCGAGAGATGGGCTCGATCGGTGGTGGCGGCAGGACTTGTGCTTCTTCCATCGTGGCTAGGGATTCGGGGAGGCTTGCAGGAGCGCAGACGAGGGCCAGCAAGGCAGGATGCGAATTCGAATGGTCGCCAGCGTGAAAGTGGCGATCGAGGCCGGGGTGTTTTTTTGCCCTTCTCGCCCAAGGGTGGTTGCTTTTTTTCAGGAGAAATCAAGCACCAGCCACAAGATCGCGGGATCGCAGATTTCGTCTCGCGCTATGATGATGTAAGGAAGAGGCGACGGGCGTGGCGGAGTTGCAGGAGATTGAGGCTAAGGCGCGGCACAAAAGCGTGGGGGGAAAAAAAGAAAGGGAAAAGAGGAAAAGGTGAAAAGGCGAAAAAAAGGACCCTGGAGGCGTATCGCGATGTAATGTAATTATTGTTTCCCCCCTTACAAAGTACAGGCAAAGTGGTAGGTACACACAACGAGGAAGTCCGGATACGAATCCTGGGAAGGCGCGCGTGGGAGGGAGGGGCTCGTTACTAAGGACCAAAGGTGCTACCTCGCCCATGTACCCGTACTTATACAGCGCGCAAAGCCCGCCAAGCAGAGGCTAGGCAGAGGCCCTGCGCGCTGTACAGTGACCAAGCTGCGCTGGCCTCAGCGTGAAGTTCGGGCTCTGGTGCTGCCCGGCTGCGGCAACGGCGGGCGCTGATTGGCCACGGCGGGCATCAAGAACCGCAGGGTTAATTTAAACAGATTCAACAGCAGCCTTATGTATTGATTGCTCCAGCCCGAAGGCGTATCCCAATCTTGATCTGTCCCACCCCACGGCCACGACGACCGCGTCTGTCCAGGATTGATGCCTCTCAACTGCTTTACCAGATATCTAGCCGTGCCACGATAGAGCACGCATGTCGGCGAGAGGGGGGCCAGGGAGGGCCAGAGGGGAGCAGAGAGGAGCAGAGAGGAGCAGAGAGGGGGGGCACAGCTGATAGACAGAGCGCCGTCGAGCCTGTAGCATCGCCAAACTCAATGTAGGTACGTCTGATGAGTGTCGCTGCATGCAGATGACAGTCGTGGATGCATGTCATTGGCACTTGATCAGCTCCATATTTGACAGTGCCCCTCCAACGGCGGCAAGCGAGAGTGAGGGGTTTGCTGTCGTTGTTGTTTGTTGTTGCTGGTGCTGGCGCTGTTGCACTGTCGCGAGGCACATGGGCCGAGACGAGAGGTGGATGACATGGACGAAGTTTAGAATGGTTTTTGTGTATAACAAAGCTTGATAATGGCTTTGAGCAGAGCTTGTGCCGGCTAGTCGATAAGGACGACGTCGATAACGCGTATCGCAGTTATCAGCCCATCTAATCGCAAGCACAACCTAACCCTGGAATGCATCTTTCTTGACGTTTGGTGCTAAGCTCAGCTAAGTTTTGGCAGCTGGAGCAATTTAGCCAACACGGACGTGCATGCTGTTGTGTTCGCTGGGCTGCAAGTGCCGACGGAATTAGGACCCGAGGCGTACAATCTACCAATGAAGTGCATGGATCAATACGGATTCTGCTGCCAATGATGGTTCACCAGCTGCTATCAGGCAGAACTAAGGCTCCGATCTGCCCTGACCATCGACCATCATTCGATATCGTTGAATCCATAGGTCTGTAGGCACAGTACAGTAAGCTTAGCACCATGCCCGCTACCACCTGGACGCACGTACTCGTACTCGACTCGACTCGACTCGGCCATCATCCCCATATAAGCTCTGGAACCTCGTCACCACAGCGCTGATCCCAGAATGCCCTGCGATTCGCCCTTGCTTTCCTCCCACAAGGTCCAGTCCAACAGCTGTTCCATCAAGCCACAACCCCTTTGCCATCGACCCACCGGCCCGGCAATTTTTGCTCTAGCGCCCAAGCCACAGGCCTTGCTCGGCGTCATTGGAGCCTCATAGCCTCACGGGCGCCGCTTTAGCACGGCGGCCCCTCCAGTCTTCAGCGGTGTGCGCCCTGTAAGTGCCCGACCGCAGCGCTCCATGGCGGTTGAACCGCTAGCACAACTCCGTGCGTCCTCGCTGGAGCTTAATTTAGTGGCACTACGCACTGCTGAACCTTGCAACGCTCGGGAAAGCAGTTAAGTTCTCCATCTTCTGGCCTTTTCTTGAATCTCTTGGTCTCTTCTTCTACTACCTTTTCATCACCGCCGCCCCTCGTCCTCCAGCCTCGTCGCCATCCGATACTCCCGCCAACATGTTCAACTGGGCAAAGCAGCAGTAAGAAATCTCCCTCCCGTTTGGCCCCCAAGGCACCAGCCCCGCCATTCTCCCTTGGCCAACCCCTCCAAGGTTTTGCCAAAAATCGAATGACGATTGCTGATGGAAAGCTGCTCTCCTCTAGGCTGGCCAACGTCGCCGGCACCCAAGAGCCCATCTATGGCCCGTCGGCCATCAAGTCCGTTGCCCAAGAGGCAAAGGAGACAAACACGCCGTATAGCGAGCTGACCAGGGCCGACCACACCTGGCTGGCGCTGGACAAGACATGCGTCGAAAACCAAGTCTTTTACTTCTTTGCCGAGAACGGCACCATTGCTATGGCCCAGGTCATCTACAGCAACGTTGCGTATGATGCGTCCCGTTGCCACGATCTTGATTTCATCTTGGCTGACTTTTTCCCCTGTTGAAGCGGCCTCAAAGTTACCTGCCAGTTCAACGCCAAGATCTTCTCCCGCGATCCGGCGAAGCCGCACCTGTGGTGTTCGAACCCGCTAAGCAACGTCGCCTTCAACGAGGACAAGACGTCCTTCTACGCCGATGACTGCGCCGTCGAGCTCTCCGAGGACGGCAACTCTTACACAATCAAGAGCATGAACGATGAGAGGGCGCTTGTCAACCTCAAGGTGACCAGAGCTGCCCCCGGCTTCCAGGCCGGCAAGACGGGCACTTCGCTGTATGGCACAGATCTCAAGAACCCTTGGGGCTCGATGCGCCATGCATTCTGGCCGCGCTGCTCAGCCGAGGGTACCATTACAACCAAGGAAGGCCCGGTGGACCTCAAGGGCCAGGCCATTTACATCTACGCTCTGCAGGGCATGAAGCCGCATCACGCCGCCGCGCGGTGGAACTTTGCCAACTTCCAGGGCCCCAGCCACACTGCCGTCATGATGGAGTTCATCACCCCTCCTTCTTACGGCAACACCGTCGTCAATGTCGGCGCTCTTGTCAAGGACGGCGAGATTATTGCCGTGAGCAGCGAGAACAACAAGGCCACGCACAAGGCCACTAAGAAGGACGCCACCAGCGATTGGCCAGAGCCCACTCAGGTTGAATTCTCATGGTCAGCATCCACCAAGGACGGCAAGCCCGTCACGGCTGTCATTGATGCCGCCCTTGGCGACCGCGTTGACAGGATTGACGTCATGGCCGAGGTGCCCGGATTCGTCAAGACAATTGTAGCTGCTGCTGCCGGAACGAAGCCTTACATTTACCAGGTTCGTAATCTGATCCCGTTACTTCTCTTCACAAGGCTAACTCTCCTTTTTTTTTTCTAGTTCGCCCCCAAGAGCACCTTGAAACTCAAGATCGGCGATGAGGAGATTTCTGAGGAAGGCCAGCTCTTCACAGAGGCCACCTTTATCTCCGACCTTGCTGCCTCTGGATAAACATGATAATATTGCTTTTTTTTTTGGAAAGAAATATAAATACAGGGCTTTTTGTAAAGAACTGAATGATTGATTGAGACAATGTTTGGATACAACCTAATATGAAACCCGGCGTTGGAGAGAGGTTATAATACTACTGATCGCTCGTTTTTTTTACATTAGCTTACGTGTAATCAACCAGCACATTAATTTTGATATATTAGGAAAATTAAAGAGCTTACCTTTTATATGATGTGTCCTGAAAGCCATGGGTGATTGTATCGAGGATGTGGATAGTTGTCAATTCTTTCCAGTTCATGTTTATTTGCTACTGAATCTTGAGAATGCCTAGTGGAATACGATTTACAAATCTCTAATAACTAGAGGGGAATAAAGCTCAAAGACCTGGAGAGTCCTCTCGCATATATATGATATAACGTAGGGTAGGGTGTGTAAGATGACGCCGTATCTCTCATGTCCAACTGCAACCCCCTAAAAAAACAACGTTGCGTTACATTTTATATAAACCACGCCTCCCCGCCGCCAGTCTATTCGAATTCCGTGTATATAACCCATCCCCCCCTCCTCCGGTAGGTATAAAACCAAAAAAATATCCCATTGTGTTATTTTCATCAAAGCCCGCCCGCCCATTTGATTTTTTGACTTTCATTGACTCGTATCAGCATTACAAATTTCTCTCTCTCTCTCGTCATGATTGCTTGTCTTTTTCTTCAGGTGTCTTTTCCGTCTGCTTGTCTTTTTCCTCAGGCGTCTTTTCCGTCGTCTGCGGCTCCTGCTCCTTGCCCAGCGCGCGCTCGACCTGCCAGATGGCCCTCTCGAGCTCAATCTCGACGGCGGGCAGGTCGAGGGTTTCTGAAAAGTCCTGGATCTGCTTCTGGGTGATGAGCATCTGCTCCTTGCCGGCGGGCTCGTCGGCGGGGGCCTGGCCGTGCTTTGTGTAGAGCTGGTCGAGCTCTTTGGAGGGGGCGAGGTGGAGGAGGTTGTTCTGGAGGAGCCATTGGATGTGTTTGCCGCCGTTGATGGCTCGCCAGTGAGACCAGGCGCGGTAGACGAGGTAGAAGAAGGGGAGGTTGGGGACTCTAATGATGATGGTATGTCTTGTTAGCCGGGGATTTGCTCTCGTCTCTCGTCTCTTCATGTCTTTCCTCTTCCTCTTCTCCTCTCTTCTCTTGTCTCTCTCCTCTCCTTTTCAGATTCCTTCCTCTCTTATTTCTTCCTGGAAAAAACTCACAAAGGTACCAGCCCCAAGGGCGCCGTGATAGGCATGCCCACAAAGCACCACATCAGCCTCTGCCGATGCAGCGCCTGCCTCTCCGTCGCCAGCCTCCGCACCACCCCCTCGGCCTTGTGCTCCGGGATCGCCGCCGGCGGGAACACCAGCTGGACGGCATCGCGGCCCCGCAGCTCGTCCTCGCGGCGCCGTGCCGACAGCGGCGGCACCGACTTGAGCCCCCACTCCTCAAAGGGAATGCGCCGGAAGGCATGGTTGCCGTAGTCGACGACCTTGCGCTGCCAGCCGCGCTCCATCTTCTCCCACTGCGCCCACTTGCGCGCGGCCAAGGCGGCGCCGCGGTCGATGAGGCTGCCGTCGTGCGAGGCGGCGTTGAGGCGGTTGGCGTAGAGGAGCGTTCGCCGCGTGGACACGGGGAGCAGGTAGATCCTCATTGTGGGCGTTTGCTTGAGTTGTCGTCGTTGGAATTGAGAAGAAGGAGAAGAGAAAGGGAGGGTATATAATCCCTATGAGTAGCTGGAGCCGTAGCTGGAGGAAGAAAACGGATCCCTCTCTACCTGGAGATAGAGCTGGATCAGCTACTAGCAAGTTTAACCAAAGACGTCACAAGCGGGTCAAGACACTGCGCCGCAAGCAAACACGTCAAGCCCATTGACTCCCTCACAGACGCAGAAAGATAACAAGACGCCTAAAGAAAAGAAAATAAGAGAAGAAGAAGAAAATCTCAAACTGTTGAGAGAGGGGGGACTAAAGTTGGTGTGAAATGGAAAGAAGAAAAAAATAATCGCCGTAATTGCTTGCATGTAAAAAAAGCTGTATGTTGATTTGAGAACCTAAAAAAAGGCTGCGAGGGCGACTAGGCTCGATTTGGGATATTTGCTTTTTGGGAGCCAAACAGTGACGCACATGGGCATCATGGCGGGCTGCGAGTTTTGCTTCATTTTTTGGGAAAGATGGGCTGCATTGCTCGAAGCAGAAAACTTGGAAACTGCTTTATATTCCGAGAAATGAAGTCACCTACCGGGCTGGGTGTCATTAAGTGGTTCTAGGTTACATGCTTCATCAGGCTCAATGTCCAATATCTCGGCACTCACCAAATCAATTTCATCACGAAAAATACAAACAAACTAGACAAGTCACACATCTAATGACAATTCTACTTCTTATCTAAAATCCCTAACAAGAAAAAAAATAGGACTTCACGCGCCGGTTATCTCTACGTTAGTATATCTACGCTGTCAATCTCCAACGTTCGTTGACTTACCTACCCTATCATCAACTTAGAAAACTCAACTGAGAAAAGAGTTTGGCAACTCCTCATGTATCAAACTTGCAGATTTGGGGACATTAGCAAATGGGCGGATGGTTTAGTGGTATAATTTTCCCTTAGCATATTGCGAGTTGCCTTAACGCCTGGGAAAGGTCCGGGGTTCGATTCCCCGTTCGTCCATCCTTTTTTTGTATTGTTTATACATGACTTTGCTTTGTTTCCTTTAAGAGTAATAATATATAAACAGTCATTCATGCATGAGTGATCTACATACATACAGTTCAGCCCTGCAGAGGCAATGCCGCCATGGATGTTATACAAACAAGAAGAGGTCCATCAGAACCAAGGCCGCCATGAGGGTTCCCTCTGAATAATGTAACAAACAGCTGCGACGCCTGACTTGTCGGGCCACAGCCTCCAGCGCATTATGGGCTACAAGTTCGGACTTTAAGTTGCCTGTCTCAAATACTAACATTGAAGCCATACACGTGGTGGCAGTCAACAGACCACAGCTTTGAATCGGCTAGGAGCGAATATAGAGAATGTCATCGCACCGCACAGCTTAATATTAGCATTCATCCAACAATATCTCGGGCAAAGCCTCCCGGAAAGTCCAGCGACCCTAGCACTAAGCGATTCTATTTCGAATCGCGTCGTGCCTCTCTGAATCACCACCGCTTTTGCCATTCTTACCATTATAATCCAAGCAATGGTCGTTTGAGATTTTCTGCATTAAGAACAGAATGTCGCTCTCCCGTAAATAGGCATGTCGGCTACATTATCTACGTGTGTAATGAGATACAAGGCAAATTGAATATAATGAAACCGTACGTATGCATGTTCACGCGGTCAATTCTATCGCATAGGCAGTAGCAAAGTGAACGGTGAATACTGGGTATTCATGGAAAGAAAAAGTTTCACTTTGAGAGTGTCCTAGACGAACTGTAACTGGAAATTGTTTAGGAAAATTGTTTAAGAGCATCGCTTGCATTTTGCAACACCTCCCGAAAAGACGCTACTGTGTCGTGAAGATCCGATGTAGCCTCTTTAACCTCTTCTCTAATTGCAGTTACCCCATCATCACGTTCTTTTTCCAGGTCCTCATTTGCCTCGTAAGACTTTACCTGAAACGCGTCAAAATGCTCTTCATACCTTTCATCTACCGCTTGCAGAAGAAAGTCCCTCTCTGTTGAATCATACCGACACGGGGTATAAACAGTACCTGGGTTCTCCTCTGTATTTTTGATCTGTCCAATAGACTCCTGTAACGAGTTCAAGCGAGCTTCCAATTGATTTTCAATGCCATCAAGGCGAGTTTCCAGTTGGTTTTTTAGATCATTATGGCGAGTGTTGGATTGGTTTTCAATATCATCAAGGCGAGTTTTGAATTGTTTTTCGATATCATCAAGGCGAGTATGAATGCCACGAAGTAAAGACATTAGCATTAGAGGGCTCTCATCATTAATATCGAGTTCGGGGCGTTCGCTGGGGTCGAGTCTGCGTTTTTCTTCCACAGTCAGCTTCGCCCAGAATATTGTGACAAAAGATACCTAATGCTTACTTGAACGTGCCAATGGAGAACGGAGAACGGCGCTGGTATATGGTGGTGGGCTTGGTGGGCTTGCTCCAGCATGCACAACATCATCATTCTCACTAATGACCTTGCCTCCCTTACCAGCATACAGCGTGGCGAGATTCCCAACCTTTTTATCCTTGCGTGGTCGATTTTTGGTATTCTTGAGGGAAAATATGGTCGCAAGTCGCTCAAAGTCTTGCCGTCCTCGTGTGACAGTATCAGAACTGGCAAGATAAAAAGTAAGCTGGGTAGCCATGGAAAGATGTTGCATGAAAGCCAGCTGCTCTTGTGTTGTACGTTTGGAAGCTATATGGCGATCTTCAGGACCGACACAATCAGGCCCTTGTGTCAAGGAGAAATGCAGTGCATGATTATTAGAAATGGGGAAGCCCGACACAGTGGATCGCCTATTAGAGAACACAGTTATGGCGTGAATCCGCTCGGGAGGCATGAGCAAATAGATGCGTTGCTTATTGCTTTTGCGCCTGCTGCCTTTGAGGGTAACGTATGTAGAAAGCGAGAACATTGCTGTATTGGCTGAGGTGTTCACGTATACATTGAGGTAGGTCTGTTGAACTTCTTTCACTCGTTTCCGTCCCCCATGAGTATCCTTCCAAGTGATCTTACAGACGTCATAAGAGCCCTTAATCAAAGGCGCGTTTTTATGAGTTTCACTTTCGGCCGTAACAATCGTCGCCTCGTCATCGTCACTTTCAGTGCTGTTCACATCAGAAACATTGTCAATATAATCTTCGTCGCTTTCAACATGTTTGAAAGCAGCGGTCTTTCTAGAACAGGGGCACGTTAGCAGCTTGCAGTATTCTGCAGAAGAGACTATGCCAATGTATTGATAAGGGCGTAGTAAGGGCGGAATAAGATTCCCCGACGTCTCTCGATAGGATTACTTCGAATGATGTACTGGCAACGGTGGCGATAGGAGGAGGTTGAAGGTCACCAAGGGTATACATTGATGCAACAACCTCGACTCGACTATAATCGCCCCAGACATAGTTCCCGAACTTCGAATAATGTACCAACAATAGCGAAAGACGGGAGGAGGTTGAAGTTCACCAAGGATATACGTTGATGTAACAACCTCGACTCTACTGTCCACCGATAAAGTTTGCAAATCATTCACCTTTAACGCGCTTCCCAAGAAGGTCGTTTAGAAGGTATCGTCATCTCCTGAACTAGTTTCGCAGACAACAGTCACCGAGCAATATTATCAAGGACAGCACGAGGGCTATTTCACTAACCCGGGGGAGGAGGAATGGGGTTGTGTTGTTGAGTAACCATCGTCTTCATCGTATGTAACATCTGGTTTGCCGGGTGTGATAGCAGCATTGTCCATGATGAAACGCGTGTAGTAGGTGACGTGATAAACAGCTGTCAGGATGTTGATAGTAATCGCGCATTGCAGGTAACCAAAGAGAAGTGTTTTAGTCACGTGGACCATTTTCTTAGGTAGCCGGCTAAAGATCGGTTAACTGCTTACCTCGAAGCTGACGTGATGTCTCCTTACTAATACAAGTACAGTTAGTGGACAAAAGTCTGCGACCATGTCACCGTGCGCCACCCAGAATCAAAAAATTACTATATTTTAAACCTTAGAAATAAACGCTAATATAACCTAAAAATAATAAATAAAAATACATGTAAGTAATTTATTTATATAAATATCTTATGCTGAAATATTTTTCATGTATTTACTATATGAAGCTTATAAGGGGGGGTCTATGTATTGCATCTTTGTAACGGGATTATAGGCCCTGAAGGGCGCTGTAATCTGTTACCTATTATATAGGCTGTTGTAGAGGGAATCCTAGCACAAAGTGCTAGTATTGCTGATCTTTTTGATTATTGGCTCAATTGGCACCCTTTCCAATTGCTGTTACAATCTTCTCCACACTGTTTTTTCTAGGGAAAAAGTCCATTTTTTTAATCTGCAGTTTAATCCCCCACTCAGCTTCTATTTATATAAAAATAAAAAACTAAAAATATTTGCGTAAGCTTAATGTAATTTTTTTGTTATTATATGAGGTTTTCAGCGTATTCTTATATTTATAGAATTAAATATCAAATTTCAAAAAGTATGTGTTTTGTGTATTAGGGTAGCGCACTGTGGTGTGGCCGCAGACTTCTGGCTACTCACTTTAACTATAGAGCGGTAAGTGAAGGTCCGGTCTAACTGCTTCTGGCTACCTATGAGCTTAGCATGTTCGTTCAAGGTTATCTCTGTAGATATCTAGGTACTGCACATATAAAACTCCAAAAGCGAACCCCAATCAATGTTATTGCCTGCCTTGGGCGGCGCGGTTATAATGGAGACTGCGTTATCCATTCAACTTGATAGAGCTTTCCACAATAAGATAGACTTTAGTAATGGCTCATCCTATATATTACTCTCTGCCCTGGACCCCAAACTCTTTATCCCCATGAGAGCACGCATCCTGAGACATTTCCCATGTATACCAAGAAAGGTCACTGTTAGAACCAACTTTAGAATCGCTTTGACATGATGCCCGTTTGAGCCTTATTTTTTTGACTTCTCTTGCTATCTTGAGTTCTTTTCTTGTATATATTAGTCTTTAGGATATCTCTCTGTATATGCCCTTTATTATACATATATTGAATGCGTAATACAAGCAGTACAGCCCAGGCGGAACAGACACAAAACCGTGTGCTCTTAACGGCGCTGAAATAGCCAAACCTCGGTTTAGGTTCAAGATCATGGTGGAAGCCCCATCTACTCCCCCAGAGACAAGCCCACTAACCGGCAGATTAGTAGTTGAGTGGGAGACCATCGGTGAACGCCGGCTGCTGTATGTTTTGTTTTGCCCTTCTTTTCGATATCTCGACATCTCCAACACGTCGATTGATGCGCGAGTTTAGTTACCTTTCATTGTCTGGCAAACAAACAGATGGTTTCCTCCTCACAAACATCATCCAACAAGACTCGCCCAAATGTAGTAACCTGAAATGTATTGTATATCTCCAAAGCACCAATTGCCACCCATCCCGCATCTACCGTCTACTACCTATACCAAAGGATGCCAATGCCATGTATTATATCGTATCGTACTCAGAGGGAATGTTTTCGCTGCTTCTCCTGCGTAATGTGTAAAACGTCACCTTTCCTCACAGAGACCCTCCTGCCGTCGTTTTCGTCGGACTCTTGCTTCTCGCCTTCATAGCCCCCTTGCCAACAATCTTCTCCGTCCAGTTCCATGATGAAGGACTTAGTCTCCCGCCTTGACTCTCCTTTGGTTTATCCAGCTTCTTGTCGCCCGCGGCATCATGAATAGAGTCAAAATCATCCTCATTCTCGCTACTCGCCCAATCGCGCTCACTCCACGACATTGAATCTCCTCTATCGCCCTGATGACTGTGGTTCATGGAGGATCGATCGGTATCTTGCGTCCTTGGCAGGGGAGGCACTTCGTCGAGAGCCTCCCGAGCCTCGCTCGCATTTGTCGGCTCCGGAGCAAGACCGCGGGCTTGCTGCATAGACACCGTTTTCGTCTCGCGACCGTCCGCGCCAGGGGGTTGACCAATGTCCAAAGCCCGCTCGCCCATGTACTCGTCCTCGGTGCGTAATCGTGAAACGGCCGAGTCGCTAAAGTGAGCATCAACCAAGTGCTTGACGACCGGCCAACCGTAAGCGTTGGCAAACATGCGGCGTACGAAGATGTTGTTGTGGGCGTCTGGTTCCAGCTTGACAAGCACCTTGCGCCAAGACAAATCCTTGTGGTATCCGCGCGAAATCTTTTCCTCAACACGCATGCTCGAGCCGTCAACAACCTCGTTAGGCTGCTTTTCAGGACCCGTATGTGCAGTGTCGTCGTAGTCTTTTGCCGATGTCATTGAGTCTTCGTGGTTGATCCCTGAATGCGGCGTTGATGAGCCGCTGCCGCCGGGCGAGAGCAGCGACGAAGACGAGGACTTGAGCTTCATTTTACTAAGCGCAGAGGGCGTCCGCTTCTTCAAGGGTGGCGCGGGGATGTCTGTCGGATGATACACTCGGTCATGAAAGATTGTCCGTGGCCTCTTCGACGGATCAACGAGCCACTCCACATCTGGAATCTTGGGATTGAGCAGGTCTCCGGCAGATTCAAAGAACGTGGTCCTGGGCGGTGCTGTCAGGCCATCTATATCATTCTCAAGCTCGTGCCCTGCAGTTGCCTTGCCGGAACGTTTGCCCGTTTCTGACGAATTGGAGCTGTCGGCAGTGCTGGAAGCATCTCCACCGTTCTTAAGTGTCTGGCTCCTGCGCAATATCTTCTTCTGCTTCTCCGTCACGGGTTGCTCTTTTGGAGGGTCGTTGCTCCTAAATAAATTAAAGAATCCGGTGAGCGGAGTGTGAAGCAGGTTATCTCCTGGGCTTTCCAGTGGCTCATCTGGAAATACCGCTGGAACGGAGCGTAAGCTAGCCCGGTCGTCTTCGGCGAGAGCATCGTTGGATGGCTGCGGCACCTGATGGCTGTTGCTATTGCTACCATCACCATTAGGGGTCGTAGCACCCGAGTCGGTCTCAATGTCATCCGGAGGAATCTGCAGCTTCTGCCGCGATGATCCCATGTTGGCACCTGTGAGCTCGGCCCATCCAAAGCCTACAACCGTCTCGACGAGACCGGCATCTCTCCTTGCTTTGCCAACGCGGCCTAGACCCTGCCAGTCCAAGAACAACAGGCAACTTGTGCGCAGCGGAACGATGCCATCGTTGACCACGTTGGAGTAGACTGTTCGATTTCGAAATTTCTTGAGGGCGTTGTGAGCCGGCCCCGAGGGTAAGATTCGTAACAGAGGCTTGGACTCGGGCTGCGATTCGCCATAGACTTTCTTGTGAGCAGATTCGCCCAGGTTGCTCACAATGGCACCCCAACCGCTTCGTGCAATCGTCGGTGCTCTCCACGTCAGGCCTAAATCCTGCCCCGTCCTCCCCACGAGGCCAAAATCGAGCGCAAACTTGACGTAGAGAGGGTTTTCGTTGCTCAAGCCCAAGAAGGGCGTGGCCAGTGCGATGAAATTAATAGGTTTTATCAGGTCGAAGAACCGTGGTGAATGCTTTTGTATATATGCAATAGCGTAGGTCTGCACAAGGCCGCCCAATGAGTGCGCAATGAAGCTGATGCTCGTGACCTTGTAAGGTCTCCGGATTAGTTTGTGGTCTGGCGCTCCCTCCGAGTCGGCGGCCTTGACGATGGTGCTGTTTTTGTGAGCCTGCATAAAGTCGTGCGCCCCCTGATCGCCCAGCCCGTGGGCAAACCCTTCGAAAGCGCCTTTTCCTCCTATCGGTAAGAATGGCTGGTCCGGGTAGGTCATGGAGAGGACATATCTCGCTAGCCTTTTGCCAAGGTACTTGATTCCCTTCTCCGTCTTGGTGGCGTTTCCGGAATATCCTCGCACAATGACTTCTTCGTCTTCATCCTCGTCATCATCTTCGCTTCCTGTCGAAGAAGCACCGTCTTTTGCCTTGCTGCCGTTGTCGGTAGTAGCGTCGGCCTCTGCACGCTGCTTTGCTCTTCTCGCCTTGGCATCAATCTTGGCCTGCTTCGCAGCAGCATCGATGCTCTCTTTCATGAAGAGCATATCGGCGCCCAAGTTACTATGCAATCCATGCGTTAGAATGACAAGGTGAATCTTCTTTTGCTTCCGTGGGAGCGGCTCGTCTTCGGTTTCCGCATCGCCGGTCTTAACCATGCTCTCCACTGGTTCGTCGGCAGTAGGCCGTTCCTCAATCCTCTTGTCGCCAGCATCGTCCCACACCGGCAACCGGGGCGTGTTCCACAGAGTCGCCGTGTCTTCTACCTTGACAAGTACCGCTCTCGAAAAGACCCCGCGAGGCTGTCCCGGATGATGCCCGTCCTTGGCTCCAATGCTCTGCTGATGGTCCACTAGCTTTCCCGGCTGTGGTACCTGGGCCTGGCCGCCTACCACCGGGACGGAGGAGCTCAGGCTCAATGATTTCTGTTCTCTCGCCACCAGAAGCTCGTATCCCACCGCCGCCGATGTAGAGAAGATGACCTGTGACGAGATCTCGATGATCCAGCTCACGCTCTCGGAATCGTGCTCCGGGCCGTTGCCAAACGTGCCATGGCTTCCCGTCCCCGCCGCCTGCCGTATGTCTTCCGGCACGACAAGCTGACACTCCCACGAACCTCCGGCCTTGAGCATCGGCTCGAACTCGGGGACGCCATAGCGGCGCGGGCTGGGGAACTTTTCGTTGGGGTTGAACTTGGCAGGATACGTCGCCACGCTCAGGGTATACGGGCCGTGGACAAAGGCCGCTCGCAGGGCAATGTTGGACGTGTTACGTATGCGCACATACAGCCGCTCTGGCGACGGCAGGATGCGGTCCTGAGAGGGAGCGTAGGTGACGGTATAGCGGACAACCTCGCCAATCTTGACGCTGCCAGTCTGGTGGATGAGAAGCATCTTTCTCGGCTTCCAGGCGGCGCAAGGCCCCGCCGCTCTGATGCAGTTGCGTCAGCCTTGAGCTGCGTGTGTCGCTCGTTTCGCTCGTTCGATCGTTCGTCCGGTCTCGTTTCGTATATATATATATCCAAAGAGACCTGGCGACTGCAACGCGGTTCTCAATGGGCTCCTGTAGGCTCGAGCTGGAAATGGAGTGGAGGAAAGGAGAGGAGAGGCAAGATGTAGCAGCTCCAACGACGGAAGGGCAGTGGAGTGTTGGAATTCCGACGTATTAAACGTCTACATTATCCTCTACCCCGGCACCCTTTGCGAAACGATATGACAATGCACAGGTCAACAGGTCGAACGCTCATTTGAAGGGTAATTTAAAGTTGTGCATGGGTGAATTGCTAGGGAAGAGAAGAAAAAAAAGGGAATGGTTTGGAGGTGGGTTGATAGGAGATTGAGAGTGGCGTATCCGCACTCTGCATTGAAGTTGCGAATAAAAGAAACAGGATTATACCTGTAGTTACCTAGGCTGGCGGCGGCATGTGCTGTGCAGGGCGACGGTACCGGCGGACGGGGAACGGAGTACGTGGTACGTGGTACGCGGTACCCGTACACGTCAGTATCTGGGACTCGGGACTCGTATAGATTTCGCCCTGCGCCGGTACCAGGTACATACGTAACCTCACTCCTTAAAGACGGCCATTCGCTACTAGGTACGCTTTTATACTACTGAGATACGAAGTGATGCCAGTGTCCCAAAGAAACGGATCTGTCGGGAAGCCCGTTTCCCCGTTGCATGAATGAATCGATGGATTCGACCCTCTCCAGCATATGACGCTTAGTACTTGCATGACGGCGCTGTCGAGTCTCCCCAAAAAGGGCCGCACTGCTGCTGTGAGTGACACCGTAGCTGCCGTCATCGCAAATCGAAAGCCCCCCTTTATAGCATATCGTTTCGTTTCTCGGATTTTAGCGTGCTAGAAACGCCCTCGCTCTAGGTCTTTATTTAGCCACTCACGCCCAAGTAGGGTATCCGGTACGAGGCTCGTTTTGATTCCATCTGGGCGTCTGTGGCGTCACGCGACCTGGCATTGTTTGTTCAGATTGGCATGTGAATGGAAGACACAGTGTTTCTGCGCTATCCCGGCTTTCTGGCGCAATACCATGGGACTGCTATTAGTACCTGTACCTACCTACCTAGTAGTCTAAAATGAAGTCTTTCAAAAGGGGACGTCTGGATTGGGTAGTGGGTCTCGCTGCTTGTTTATTCTTCTTATAGAGATTTATGCTGCAAGACATCACATCTGATTTGCCTTTTCCAAGGCTATTCAAAATACATGAAATAGTTGAAACTATTGATAGGTGCCCCAAGCATTCAGTAACCAGTCAATCTCAGTCTTACCTACTTGGAACCTTTACATAGTAGTGAGTTACCTATTCAAAATACTAGTCATTATTCATCAGGAAATCCTGGCTCAACAAAAGCCCTCCACTCGGACACCCGATGCGCACCTCGGCCATACCCCGTCAACCCTGCCAAAGTCGATGACTTGGGCCTCTCGCGCTCATCCCCACTGCGCCGTGATCTGCGACGGGGAGAGGGAAGCTCGGTTTCAGCCGTCTCCACGCCATAGTAATACGGATCGTGAACTGATCTTGGCGTGGTGGTGTACGCATTATCGTAGTACGCGTCTCCTCCAAAGGGATTCGGCCTCATCAATCCAGGCGAGGGCATCGCCGGTACGGGGGCATAAGCTGGCGGTGGTGGCATAGAACCTCTTCCCATCGCGCCAAGAGCCATACCGACTCCCATATCTGGAGCGTGCCCAATGGTTGCATCTCTTGGATGCAGTACATGGGGTCGCATGGCTGGCGCTGGAGGAGATGGCCCTCTCGACTGGCGTCCTGGGCGGTTCTCTGACAACCTATCAGCTAGACGCTGCTCCATTGAGCCACTGCGCTGCGGACCCCTGGCACGGTTGACTCCAGAAACGTAGCTGTTGTAAGGCGGCTGCGGCTGTGTGGCTGAGGCTGCGGTAGGTAAGGTTGGCAAGCTTGTTCGTCTGTAATCCTCCATCGGGTGATGCTTGCTGCTGTTGAGCCCAAAATCCACCTCCTCCTCATCTTTCTCAGGAGTGATGGGAGCAAATGGGTTTTCGCGCTCTCGTTCTCGCTCCCAATCACGGTCTCGACCACGATCGCGATCACGCTTTCGATCTCGGTTACGATCTCGGTTACGATCACGATCACGGTCATGATCATGGTCGCGATCATCTTCGTACTCATCCTCATGCTCATCCGAGACCTGTAGTCTCCTTGCAAAATCGGCATCACGCTGCTCTTGGAGCCGGCGAAGGTGCATCTCCTCGTCGTAAACCTGAGGTTTCGGTCTTGTTGCGGGCATCGAGGAAGTGGGCCTTGAGTAAGATCGCAGTTCTTCCATGGAATTCGGCCTGTTGACCCGGAGAATCTTCCTCAGGTCTTCAGTGGGAATGTTCAAATCCTGAATTTGGTTGTTTTCCCATGGATTGGTTCCATTCTCGTAGTTAAACCATGGGCAGCTGCAACTTTTCCATTTGGTGCCGCATATCATACAGAATTCAGCTCCGCATCGGCTTTTTTTATTCATTCAGTGTTAGTAAACATAGGGACCCATGTGGTAGGACAGCGAGAAGCAAAGGAACGGCCAGCTTACCAGGTCATATGGTTGCATCCTTCTTTGAGTTCAACCATTGATTTACACTTATAACATCTCTTCCAACCCTCCTCCTTTGCCTGATCGAGAAATCTGTTCGTTTCTTCGTCACGTGGACATTCAGTAGAGTTGTGCCATTTACCGCTGCATTTTGGACAAACTTTGGTCTTGCAACGACCACAGCGAGCGACTCTTCTACCATCTTCTCCTCGATAAAAGCTGGTTGGCTTGATCCATTCACCACAGCGCTTTGATGGGCAATAGACTCGGTTCCCAGTTGAATATTCTGCAAACTTGCGGTTCCAAGTCCTCTTGAAATCATTGTCGAATAGCTTATCCACATGTTTGAGTGGGATATGACTTTTTGTGCAGCAGCGTGGTGGCATATGCTGCGGATCGTGAATCGACATTTCAAAGTTGCGCTTCATGCAGGCATTGCACATTCGGTGGCCGCACTTCAGGTCCGCTCCCTTTGACGACGGAGTGTCCTCCATACATATGACGCATTCAATCCTTGTGCAAGTTAGAATTTAATTTCCACTCTACCAAAAAAAATTGAGACGGTTTGTTCATGTCTTACCCTTTTCTTTTCTCCATCTTGCTTTGCTTTTCAAGTTTGAAGAATTTGTCTGGCGATGAAGGTCTGGACCTGGAGGCCGGCCTGGAAGCAGGCCGAGAAATGGGCCCAGAAGCGGCATTGCCAAAAATATTTCCCAAGATACGAGCGGGTCCTGAAGTCGAGCCGTTGAGGCTACGAGCAGATCGCATGGTAAATGATCTTCTAGGATCTCGATCCTCGTAGGCTGATTCTGCCGATCTATAACCTGCACCGTCTCGTCCAGTTGATGTTGCCCGTCTGGCCAACTTATTATTGGAGCTAAGTTTGTCAATTTGGATTCACAAAAGCAAGGTTCTGAAGAGAACAAACCTTTTTCTCGATGCAACAGGTGGCCGTGAACCTTCAATGACATGCGTCAACTGATAGCGCTGAGCCTTATGGGCTGACATGCTCCTCTCACGGACCCTGGAGGATTCTCGTGTATGCGAAGTAGAAGGCACATCACTGGCCGAAAGCGGAGGGTCAGAGTCCCGCTCGTCGTCAGAGTAATACCGTCGTGGTGTAAATCTCTTTCGATAACGGTTTCTATCGCTTGAGGAATCGAGATACTCATCACGGCTGGACAGGTGGTGTCTGCTGTGGCGTGACGAACCGTCAGCTGGTATCTCCTCCACCTCGAGGCCATGATCGTCATCTTCATCGCCGCCATACGATGAGACGCTCGCCGATCTGTGTGTCGAGGGCTCGGAATATGCTCCAGGCATTAGTCTGCGACGAGGGTGGTTTGGGGGCGAAGAGTTCCTCCTTGTACGGCGCGAAGGTTGCTCGTTGGCAGACTCATCCTCTCCATCGTACGAGTCCATCAGTGTGCCCTTTGGGCGACGGTAGGCATCCGAAGCAGCCCTAGCAAGCCCCGGTTGCCATGGTGGAATGTTGGAGCGGCCACCATTCGCAGCGGCGGCGGCGGCAGCAACAGCATCAGCAGCAGTTGCAGGTACGGTGGGAGTGGCGTCTACACCTTTGGCATTGTTGGACTCCCTTCTGCGCATCGTCAGCTGCGGCGGCGGCGCTGTTGCCAGGTCCAGACGTCGTTGTATTTGGACTGTACCACGGGTGTGAGGCTGCGGAGCTGCATCGTTGGCCTTTTGATTCCAATCGCTTGGTTCGCCAGGTCTGAGTTTCCGTCGTCCAGAGCGGACAGTGGCAGGACCAGGATCTCGACTCGATTCCAACCGCATATTGTCTGACTTGGAAAGAAGAGTGACGTCTAATTCAGCGTTCGACTCTCCCGTTGTGCTTATTCTTATGTCTTTATCTGCTCACCACCACAGACAGCAGCGTTGGACTTGACTCGGCTACCGCGCACAGACAGCGGCGGGGAAAAAGAGAAGAAAAAAATGGGTGTGAATCAAGGCGCGTACGCACACTCACGAAGACAGAGCACGAAAAGGGCACTCAATCCAACGAGTAACCCTTTGGCTCGCTCTGAGCTGTATCAAGGGGCGGGACAAGAGAGGGGGATTAGAAGAAGAAAAAGATGGTGCAGTCGGGTTATGCAGGAGCGATCGCAGCCTCGTGGGCCAGTCAGGAACGTCCACGCTGCACCGACTATTGCATCCCACAATACTCTGATTGGAGTTGAGGGGTCACGACGTGCATGACCACCTTTGCGAGAACGCCGTTTGTCAAGACGCCAAAGAGGCACTCGGGAGGAGGAAAGAGAGAGATGCCGCTGGACTGGAGATGGAAAGTACACGAGAAATCAGGAACAGAGGAATGGAGAAGGTAAAGGGAGGACGACAAGAAGAAAAGAAGAAGAAGAAGAGAGAAAAAAAAGCCGCGGCAAGGGAAATGCTGCCTTGCGTGGTAGTACTCCGTAGAAGTAGCAGATTGGGCTGCTAGGACTTTGGGCGTGTGTTTCACTGGCCCGCCTTCGCCCTCGCAGGTTTTGTCGTGCAAGGGGACTCTGGCCTGGAGGATGCGCCTGGGGAAGAAGGAGTCAAGGCCCCCAGATAAGCCGGCGCTTTAGATGCTTGATGGACGTGGCGGCTGAAGCGTGAATTCTTGTCCGCTTTGGAAACGGGGACACGGAACCTGCGTCTGCGAAACACGCACCAAACAAAGGATGCAGCAGACTTAAGCCGGCGCTTGCTGCGCAAAAAGAGGGGAGAAAAATGTAGTCGAGTGGGATGAAGTGACAAAAGTTGGGGGCCCTGGAAGACCTTGGGGCTAGACAGCGCGTGTAACTTGAGCAGTTTTCTCAATGCAAGGGGGAGGAGATGCACGCTGCAGATTGGGAATTCAAAAGGCAAAAGAGAAAAGGGCGTCTTTGTGCTTGAGGAGAATGGAAGAGATGAAGAAAATCAAATGGTGGTGGTTGGCATTATTGTGGTCAAGCAAGCAGGCTGGCGAAACAAACATCACGTGTGGGGTTGGAGGGGAAGGCGATGGGAAGGTGCTGCCTGCCAGCCCAAGGAATTCCGTGCTTGCCCATCAAGGCTCGTAATATTTTGGTGTACCGAGTACTTTAGTACTAGGTACAAAGTACTGGGATACGATACAACTCACAAGATACAACTCACAATCAATATCCCAGCAGCCTCGATCTTCTACTGGCACCAGTTTTCTTGCATTATCACCAAACCCCAAGCAAGATGCATGCGATGGATGAAGCGCGCACACTTCACCTTGCATAAGCCGCTAGACACTCTGGCGGAAGCGAGTAGCGAATGCATGAACACACTGCACTGTGCTGTCTTTGCCAGGTACCTCTGGCCTGCATCTCGACTGCGTCTCCTCATCGGCCTCTCCTCGAATCATCCACCAGACAGGCGGCTCGTGACTCTCTCTAGGCTGTGCCGGCAGCATGACCTGACTCTCGGCCCCTGTCAGTGCTCTCTGCCTCACACCCAGTTCTCTCCTCAGGCTGCCTCTGACTCCTCCCTGCAGCTCCTCATGAGACACACTCGACGCCCTCACGTGGAGATTGGGCTGTCGAATCACCGGGCTTCAAGCTAGTCTGCGGCTCGGCCCCCTTTGCGGCGTCCCTCGCCCGGGCCGTTGCCTCCACCGGCGGGTACAAAGAATGCACTTTTGCGGCCTGGGCTTGGGATCCGGTGCCGAAGCCACGGCGCGGATTTAGATCAAGGTTGCCCTGGTTATAAGAGAATCGGAGACTCCCATCATGAGGTGCATGGGAAAGCAACTCTGGTCTTCGACATACGTGAAAAGCTTCTCCTGGCCATTGGCGTTGCAATGGCGAGAGAGCATTAGCGGCCTGCAAGCTGCAGTGTGTAAGAGGTGGCATCGGTGGTATTGCCAAGGTACATTGCCAGAAATGGTAAAATCTGCAAAGCGCCACCAGGCATCCTTTTCGACCCAAGGCCACTTCACAAGGAGATGGGAGAGAAACCCTAAACCTCATTCGTCTAATACTAACCGTGAAATGCTCAGGTCGCATCTAGGTACGAAGATAATGATTTATCCAAATAACTACGGTATTGCAATCAAGAATCTCACCAATGACTTCGAGACTCGAGTAACAATTGGTGGGTCGGACCGAATCACGCATCCCCTTTAGCCGCCGGATTGGCCATACACACCAAAGTTTGGGTGTATGATATCCAGTATCGACAGAGGTACGTATGTAGTGCCATACCCTACGTGCATGCGCTTGTGCCTGTCTACATGAATATGCAGTAGTGCTTCCGGCGCATACACGCAAGGTAGTTTCACGAAGACTGATGAAGACACAGTCGTGCATCCTCCAAAGACATCTCAGTGCAACGTCATTTCACGTGCTACAAGAGTATCGTGACTAATGCCCTCTTGGATGTCTTGTAGCGAGAGGAGCAATGACGCTAGAATCAGATGGGAATGAAGACTTTATACAGACACTGATTGGCCGGGCGACATGGCAACTTGCGTAGACGCGCAGTCTGAGCATACCATTTTGTGAAGGCGTTGATGTCACAGATTTTATCTTGTCCAAGACAATACATGGCGGAATAACAGGTTTTCTTTTACTCAATTATAAGCTATATACAGTGAGTCATATACACAAAGCTCATTCCATCATTACATCACATCAGAAATCGAACAAGCTGAATCGATCATAGCCTCGTAGATGGCCATCCTCTACGCAAAGACGGCCGCGGTAATCTGACCAGCGATATCCGCATACGCCACAAAGCCGCCAAGCAGGCCAGTGTCGGGGGAACGGTCGACAAAGACAACGCGGCCGTCATCCTGCAGGCCAACGGCGAGCAGGTTGCCCTCCTTGTTGATGGAGAACTGGCGGGGGAACTGGCCGCCAGCGGGAACGACCTGCAGGACCTGGAGCTGGCCAGTGGTTGCGTCAATCTTGAAGTTGATGAGAGGGTCGGAGGGGATGGTGACTGAAGGGTTGTCGAAATCGGGGATGGTGGTGCTGTTCTCTGCGCGGGAAGAGACAATGAGGTAGTTGGAATCGGGCTGGGAGGTGCGTATTAGCTTAGACTCTTTGAAGCTTGGCGTGGAATCATTCAACTTACAGAAACAACAACCTCGGAAGCGGCATAGCTGCTGGGCTCAGCTGGGCCTGCGCCGTGGCTGGGGATGTTGAAGATCTCGGTCAGCTTGATCTGACCATTGGGATAAGTAACGTTATATCCAATGATGGTGTTGCCCAGCTCAGTGACGAGGTAGGCAAACGTCTTGCTGCCCTTGACGACAAAGGTAATGTGTCGAGGACCAGAGCCAGGCTTGACGTTGACGGGCGTGATGTCCTTGAGAGCCAAGGTGTTGGGGTCGAAGGAGTAGAGGTGGATGAGATCCATGCCCAGGTCAGGGACGAGCAAGAACTTGCCCGTGGGGTCGAGGACCGCCTCGTGAGGGTGAGGGGCATCTTGACGAGAAGGGTCGGTGGGAGGGCCGGTCAGCTTGAAGTTCTTGGTTTGAAGGAGCTTCAGCTTGCTGGGGTTGGAGACGTCATAGGTGGTGAAGGCAGAGCCACCACTGCAAAGAAACCATGGTTAGCTTTCCGTGTTGATTTTTATTTATTTATTTACACATCCGTCCCCCAAACTAGTGGACCGAATCACTCAGCTAATGCAAACTTACTAGTGAGCCAAAGCCAGACCGTGGCGGTTGTTACCAAACACAACGCCGCTCACAGGGCCATTGGCGGTGCTGATCGAGCCAAGCTTCTGCAGAGTGCCGCCAGGAGATGTCTTGAAGGCAGTTAGAGCACCATGGGGCGTGTTCAGGCCCTCGTTGAGGCAGTACAGGATGGAGTCGGGCGAGTCCAGAGTCAGCCACGTAGGGTTGTCAGAGCAGGCCTGGGACACGGCGACGGGGCTCAGCTTCTGGATGCCCGTGTTCTGGCCATGCGTGTAGTTGAGCGTCGTGACGGTCTGGGAGTACGAAGAGACGTAGACCAGGCCGGCGGAGGCAAGGTTACCTGCGCACAACAGCGTTGCGGCGAGGCTCTTCTGGAGGTTGCTGCGGCGGCTAGGCATTGTGTAAGACGATGCTGTGAGCTCAATTGGCAAATGCGAAGACAAAGGCAATGGACTGGGGACAAGATTCTAAATGAAGCGAGCTTGCAACAGAAAAGAACAAGAAACAGAAAGGGCGGAATAATCTGAGACACGTCCCGGCACTATTTATAAGATCGGCATTGAGCTTCTCCCCGCGTACTCGTACAGGGTATGAGAGACGATCATACAACACAAGTCCCCCCAATTGATTCGCAGCTTTTCGTTACCCCAACACTGTCAGCTACACACCGCAGATCTTGGCCTGCTGAAAAACGACAGCCTGCATGCAGAAATTACATGGTATCGACGGAATATCCGTGACTCCAGGAAACATCGCGGGAATCCCCTGATGACGAATAGGCATTGTTACAGTGACATCGGCTGCCTAACTGGGAAGGAGGAACAATCAGCTCGAAAGCCGCTGACAAGGTGGGGGGCAAGAACATGAAGGGGACCTACATTATTTGGGGGGCTGAAAGCTGGACGCCCTATTCATCTTCTTTTCACACGGAAGCATCTTGTCCCGTCTGTCTTCTCGCCTGGCAATCTGCGGAGATTGTACGGAGGTATAGCTTCAGCGTTGGCATGCGACGTAACACCCTTGAGGCGGCCCAAAGCTGGTCAAGTTTTTTCTACCAACAGTCGCGTATTGCCAAGGATACAGGCGGCCCAATTCTGTCAGCCTCTGCGGAGAGTGTGGATCTTGGGACGAGACAAATCGATCCGAGCCTAGATGGCATCCAGATGTCAGTCAGCTCGGGCTTCTGGACCTAACCTTGGATGTGTGTGTCTTGCCAGCGTTGAACAATTGGACCATTACAGGCTCACCGAATATCAAACATACTGTATCTACCTGATGCTCCTCCTTCACAAACAGCCAACTCTATAGAATCCAAAGCTAAACGGAAAGAAACCCCGTCCATGATCATCATCAAAAGAAGCCAAGACATCACGTCAACAAAACACCACAACCTAAAACAAAACAAAACAAAACATCCCCGTCACCGTCACCGCCGGTCCCGCATCCCGCATTCAATTCGGGCCTGTCCCTCAGCGCTACTGCCGCCTTGTCCCTAGCCGTTTCAACGCACCGCCTGTCCCGGCATCTCGTCTCGTGTAAGCCATAGTCGAGACTTCTGCTACTACTCTACGCTACATCGTGCTCATTCGAAAAATCCCTTTATAGCTGAATCCCTATGTTCTATATTCAATTCATTGGCATCCATGTGTACCTAGCGTCAAGACATTACATCTCAATAAACCCCTTCCCAACTTCTACCAGCCTCTCCATCACTATAGAGTACAAGTTATCACGCAAGAGACACCTCATCCCTCCACTGACCCCCACCAAGCGATTCATCTTCTTCGATATCGCCTCGGCGGGAGGCATCCGAATAGCCGTCCTCATCTCATGCAAGGCACAATTCTGTGGGGGAGCGGTGACAGCTGGGAGCATCCTATCGATACCTCTCGTTGAAGAATTCCCACCAATCCTCACTGCCTGCCTCGGCTCCTCCAAGCGTCATAGCATGTAGGACACCAAAGCACGACCAGCAACCTTGTAGCACTCACTGTACGTCTTCATTGCTGTTGAATAGATTTAATTTTCTTTATTGACATGTGTCTATCACCTTTACCTCATATCCTGACGCCTTTCTTGGTATCATAGTTTTCGTCCATCTTGCGCCGCCATCTATATCATTCCAACAGGTATTCCGTGCATCCGAAATAATTCATCAAATTTTCATGGGCGTTCCTTCGTTTGCTGGTGTCGTAGTACCCTTTGAGTGAGACATGCTGTACGGTGCCTAAACAAAGAAGGATTGTTAGTTTGTCCTGACGGCAGACAAAATAAGAGAATCGATGGCTTACCAAAACCTCCTTGGCGTTACAGATTCTCCATGCCAGTTTCCTCACGCTCCGGTCCGCAAGGACGACGGCTGGCGCAAATTCTACACCAAACATCTCCCGGATGGCGTAAACAATTCTCTTGGCGTACTTGCCATCTCGCTCCACATGACTGCCGAAGCTCTCATCCACGGTGCTTGGCGCAATATCATCATCACGATCCAGACAGTTTTGGATAATGGGAAGAAGAGCCTCCTCGACAGCCTTAGCATACAACGCCTTGGTACCAACGTCGACGTCGACGTCTTCTTCGTCAAATTTGCTGATGCGGATTTCGAAAGGTTCCGAGATGCTCATGACCGTGTGACGTCCATCATGGTGGTATCTAAACTCATAGACACCTTGCGTCCACCATAGCTTATCTCCTTGGAAAACAACCTCGCCCTCCATCATATCAGGGTCCGAGGGATCAGCTTTGGCCACGGCGTGCTCCTTGACAGTAATGCTAGTATTTGCCATCGAAGCATCGTAGGCACCAGTGCATGTGGGTGTCCACCTTCCGAGTGACGAAACTTCGGTCGTGTCTCGAAGGCGATTATCCGTTACCATGTAGAGGCCAATCCAATCTTCTTTGCTGTGGTTTGCGGGCGCTCGCCACCTGACTCGCAGAGGGGCACCGTATTCAAAAGTCTTCGTCTTGATCAGCTTTGGGAAGCGTCCTGAGAAGCTCTCTTTACCAGTGGCTCTTTCGTCAACGGCCGATTGAAGAGAGGGGGTTCCCTCAATAGTGAGTGAATACTGCTTAGGATCCAGTCCGGCGAGGTCGGGGGCAATTCTGGTAATCGTGAGGCGGGCAGGTGCTACGTTGAAAAGAGCAGATGTGTCTCGGACGATAGTTTTGACACCAGAAGCAAACTTGGGGCGGGCACTGTCCAAAAACTCTTCGACAAAGTGCGAGGTGTCGTCCAGGACCTTGTCCACGCTTTCCTGCCATACTTTGACCGGAGGCGGTAATGATCGCTTGATGAATTTGGTGAGACCTGCCTCCTCCCGAATGCTTCTTCCATAAATCTTTTGCATGTGAGGTCGTTCGACGAACGCGATGACCATGACATTCAAGATTTGCGTAACCAGAGCAGTGATGAAAATGCCTCGGCTCCAGGTGATGAGAGCAGCACCCCAGATGCCAGCAGTTCCAAAAACTCTTTCGGGGTTGTTGAGAAATCGGTAGATGGAGGTGTATGTAAGCTTGGCTTCATGGTCGAAGAAGAAGTCGCCGCAGAACCAGCCAAATTCGCCGAGGGAATCATACACACTGAAGGCAGTCCATAGCTGTAGAGCAATCAAGCCAGCTCCAAGCACGTGCTTGAAAAGAACCAGGCCGTAGCCCCAGTCTTCCGGAAGGTTGTACATCTTCCAACAAGCTGCAATGAAAGATGTGTTGCACATGATCATGCTGATATGGTACATGGCTTTCCATTGGCGCCAGGCTTCTCCAGCACTCTCGCCATATTTAAGAAAGTGGCGAGTCCACATCTTTGATTTAGATTGTCGGTCCAACACGAAGCCGAGGCCAGCGTGATACCATAGCCGCCACAAAAGTGCGTGAGCAACGAAAATTACTTTCCAGAAGGATGTTGCCGGCGTCGCAAAAGTAAGGGCCGCGACATAGATGGGCAGAATAACGACAACACAGTCTGGAACCCGGAACAGATCCATGTTGTGCAACCCAACGAGATTGTGTACAGGTGCTGGCATATCCTTCTGCGAGATGGAATTGGATCGCTTGAGTGTATTTTCTGCCGGAAGATCAAAAGCCACCGTGGGGGTGACTGGGCTTCGGTTTCCAGTCTTTTCTCTTGGGGCAGGAGGATTGTAAATCTTGTCGATATGAGGGTTTTCCACCGACACGAGGAACGCAAACTGGGCAAGATGGGCGAGGATGGAGATGAAGAGCACCTCGTAGCTGGCTGCCATCATCGATATACCGTAGTATCCGGCGTAACCAATCGAATACATGGGGTGGGGCGCCATCTCAAAGACACCGTCGAATGTGAGATCCTGATCGATGAGATAGAAGAAATCTCCCCAGTACCAAGCAAAATCCTTGACAACGCGATGCGCATCGAGCTTAACCCAGAGATTGAAACCGACCAGTGTGATGCCCAAAAGCCAACGAGAGCTTCCGAAAAGTATACTCTCGTCCTTTGGTGAGTGGCCACAGACAATGGCGAACAGACAGTATGACACGAAATCACACATCAAGATCAGGTCAACAACCCTTCGGAAGACGAGCCAGGTGTTGTATTCAATGGGAGCCTTCTCAAACTCATAGTCTTCAGGGATCTTGGCTTCGAGCTCTCGCTTTAGCAGATTGTACAGCCATGGGCGGGGATTATTGCCAGTGCTCGGATGCTCGAATAGCTTCCATCGCTGGGCCCAGGTAATCAGGCGCCGGTGATGGGATTGGATATGTAGCAAGATGCCGATGCCAACATTGTAAGAGGCTCTCCAAAAGAGGAAAACGGCTGCAAATACGGGGCGCTTATACCCAGCCGGAAGGAAATATGCCGCTAGGATATGCAATGCCAGAATAGCCAAGACGATAACGTCTGAAAGGTTCTTGGGCTGCCGCGGATCAAGGAGCTGTGAGACCATGTCATGCGTAGTCGGCACAACGAATACTATCCCAATTGAGGGGCATTGGTTAGTACCATGGCTTGTGTGAGCCAAAACGGTGCGATTTTCCCACATCACTCACCTGTGCCATCTGGTGTACGACCAAAAGTCTTCTTTTGCTTGCCAATGTCACCATCCTGGGGATCCTGGCCAGCGCACTGCGGTTCCATTGGCGACTGGTGACCGGGGCTGATGCTACCACTTCCCTCAGACGCATCGTCGTAGAGCTGCCGGTGCCGCAGCTCAGCACCTCCAGCCGAGACGTCGGCGGCCGTGCTCATGGTGGACGGAGTTGAGGATCGTCCGAGTGGGCCGCGAAATGACAGAGGTTGAAGAACGGAGAGGAGCAAGAGGGTAGAGAAGCAGAAAGTTGCGAGCAATTGGGAGCTTGTGGGCTATTTAGCTGGACTTTTGCATACACTCGGAACGTCCAATCACGGGCGGCAGGACAGATTGTTGAGAAACGACTGCAGGGCCCTTTCGGGGTTCGTTGATTGCAGGGCGGAGCCACCAATCCGGAGTCTAGAAGCGAGCTGATCTCCGGGCTAATGTCGAAGCGCAAGTTGATGTTCAACCCGAATAGCGTTCCGTGTCACCTTTGGGTAGCAGTGGTTGTTTTGATACAACAAGCGGTTGACGCTTGTCGACGCAGACCGAGAAAAACGGCGTTGTTGAAGGCCGTTTTGTGGTTTGTTTTTGCTGTTGTTGAGTTGAAAGTGAAAGTGAAAAAAGCAAGAAGACGGCGGAAGAGGCGAGAAGGCTGCTTAGGTGTCTTGTGACCTCTGCCCAGCTCTGGGAGGGAAGGGGGCGCCGTTGCTACCGAGCAACATGCCAGTGTGGAGAGACACTTTAACGAACTAGAACGGCTGCCAAGTTGATGTCAATAGTGGGGGGAACCGCTGGAAATCGTTGGTAGCCCCCTAACGCAATCGCTGCTGTCGGCTAAAGCAGGCACATTAGTTCCTTACTGTACTTGAACACGAGCCTAAAGTGCTTACAATTGAAGTTGACAATTGCCCTTCAACAGTGACGATATTGATATGAAATTGATAAAAGGGTACGAGGGTAGGGTATTAGAATGAATGCAGCCGATGGGGTGAAGATGCAGGTACATCAATCGCTCGATGCCGTGAGAGCGCAACAACGTGATTTCCATGGACTGCAAAGTATCGGGCCAGACACAGATAGAGTCCAGCCCACTTCTCCAGCAAAATGACGAATGCAGCTAAAAAAGACTTGAGACCAGAAAGTCAGACATGTGAAAGTCAGACCCTGGTCCGCGAGATGCTGCTTGATTGGTGCAACCCCCCCACATTTGCCCAACAGATGGAAGCCCCACCACGGAGGGCTTCTCACCACACAAGCGAGATTTATCGAGTACATGATCCTATCGGGGAGAGAGACTGAGCTCAATGCTTGAATACAGTACCTAAGCTCTGTTTGCGACTAATTTTTATGAATCAATGTCCAAAGAGACTCTTGTCCAAGTTATCTCAGCGAGCCTCATCTTCAGGCACCTTCTTGTTCGAGTCTATTCATAGCTTGAGCCACGCCGCTTTTCTCGTTGTAATCCTCCAATCATCACACAAACTCCCCTTACCTTAGTACCCGATGATCCCACTCGGAAGTTTAAGAAACTTACATTCAGCTGTACTTAAGTGCTTGTCAGAAGAAAGTACCTATACCTGGTCAATCGTTTACGACGCCACAGATGCAATAAATCTTGTTTCCAGATCTCCGTAGCAACCCGGTTGTATTTGTGCATACACACTAAAGCTTTTATTGCGGAAGTCATCTACACGTTGGCGACACAAACGAAGGAACGGCATAGATGACGGTATGACAGTCATGAAACACTAAACAATTTCAAGAAGGAGACAATCTTAGCTACTTGAGCAAATAGTCATAGCAAATGCATTACCATATCTTCCTAACCATCCCGCAACAAGAGAAAACAAGGGCTTTTGTCGTTTTACTGAGCCTTCTTGGCAAACTCGACCCTGAGAATGAGATGCTTGAAACCAAATCCGTCCATCTTGTTGCATGCCGTGACAGCGTCGCTGTGGTCTGCGAAGCTGATGAAGGCGAAACCCTTGGCCATGCCAGTTTCCCGGTCCTTGGCGAGGAAGACTCTGGTGACACGACCGAAACGCTCGAACATATCGCGCAGCTCTGATTCCTCTGCCATCTCTGAGACCTGTTTGGAAGAAACATAACCGTTAGCAAAGAAAAGAAAAAGACAATCTTTAATAAAGGGGGCTCGAGTAGTGAGCTTACGTTGGTGACACGCAGCGTCGCAAAGTCGTCCCTCTCGCCGTATTTTGATCCACCCATGCGCTCTCCGGCCCCTCCACCGGCGCCACGCAGGGCAGGCGGAACGTATGAGCCCTTCTTCCCAGACCCGGCAGCGCCAGTGGCAGCGGATAGATCCTCTGCCATACCGGCGGGCGCATCGGCGCCGCTCGTTTCTCCAACAGGCGCCATGGTGTCCTTGTAGGGACATCTGGCTGTAAAGTGCTCGCCGTTGCAGATACGGCACTTGACCTTGCTGGCCTTGAGCTTGTCCTTCATGGCCTGGGCGTTGGCGTCGGCGCCCTCCTCCTTGGCATCCTTGCGCCAGGAGACGCTGGGTCGGAAGATGATGTTCTCGGCGACGGAGGTGGTATCGGGGGCAGGTCCCGCGGGATCTTTGGCGCTCAAGCCGAACTTGGCCCACGTCTTCCGGTTGGCGACGCGGGGGTTGACTGTCTCGGTCTGGGTGACATAGCGGATCCGACGAGTCGTCTTTACTTTCTGGCCCTGATCGTTGTATCGGTATGTGATGATGGTCTTGGTACCATCTTTATTAGAGATGGTCTGGGGAGGCGGAAGCTCGGAAGAGGGCTCCTCGATGTCGTCGTCGTCGGCCCAGTCGTGCCTGTTTTTTTGCAGTGGGTGGGGTTAGCGAGCCTGAGCCTTTGCAAAGCAAGTTGCGAGGATGGAGGCCACTCACTTGGCCTTGGGCGGCGCGGTGGTAGCCATGATTACTGCCTGCTGTGTAGCACCAAATTCGTCGACTCAAAAAAAAAGAGAAAAAAAAGCAATCTGCCCTGCGGTGTGGTCGACTTGTGCCGCGTCGCTGGAGCGATTCTACAAGGACTGATTGTGAGCGTGGGGTTTGCCGTCGAAACAATCCAGCGAATTTCTCAACATTTGGTGCGGGTTGCAATTTCTGGTGGAGCAGCCACACTGTGGCTGTGAGCTCAGTCACGTGATGGGTATCTTATCGGTTAGAGGTAGTGTTAGTTGCAATGATCGTGGCGCGGCACCATTGATCGACCTTGTCAAACTTGTGTAGATTCCGGAGAGATTGTGTGGCTGATGTCGCCGAGCAAACAGAACAGAACAGACTCCAAGCCTGTGGCTGCTCTTCGACTCCAAAACTACTCCGTAATCGTGTCTGGAGTCTTCCCGCCCGAAAGACTAAAGATGCGCCATCCTCCGAAATCGACCCTCCATTCAAGCCGAACGCCCGAAGGTTTGTCGTAATCCAGTGTGGCGCCCAGCGTTTGCGTGCGTAATGCCCAGACGGCGGTCATGAATTAGACGGTTGAGTTCGCCCCAATGCCCAAGGTTTGTGATCACGCGCTGCCCAGCTTTCCCTTGTGATTCCCCTCACTGCCTCCTTACTATTTTCTATTTCCCATCAACTACCGCCTCCGTTATTGCGTCCTGTTCATTCATTTCGACCGGGGTTTCTCTCGTTCTTCCGGTGATTTGCAGTAACCATGGCCGCCAAGAATACCAACCGAGGGGACAACCCCCCAGCTTACGGAGAGCCTCCCCAAGCACCTAAACCCACATACGGGGGATACGGGGGCTATGAAGGATACCAACAGGGCCAGTCAAGCAACTATCAGGAGGGCATCCAGGGTTCGCAAGATCAACAGGCATATTATCAACCAGGACCACAGATGGGGTATTATAACCAGCAACAACAGGGCCCTTTTCCAAGCCAAGGGCAATACCCGCCTGGGCAGGGCCAATATTCTGGCTACAATCAATATCCCCAAGGCCATTATATGTACCATCAGGGTCAGTACCCTCAAGGCCAGTACCCTCAAGGCCAATATCCCCCTCAAGGCTATTATGGAGACAGGCGTCAGGGTGGAACGACAAGCGGTCTTCTTGGTGGTCTAGCTCTTGGTACAGCTTGTTGTTGCTGTCTAGACTGTTTGTTATGTTAGTCGGCGGGAAGGCGAGCGATGGATGATCACCCCATCGAGCCATCGGCTTTGCAGGAATTGCCGAGACCAATATCCTTTCGAGCCTTCTCGTAAGATGCCAATCATAGACGAGAACATCCACATAAATAACGAACGAAGACACGGTTCAGGTTCGGGTTCGGGTTCGGGTCCGGAGTCGGAGTCGGAGGGAATTTTGCGTTTGATATCTGGGAACAACTGATGGCAGCCGGTAATAGTCGTTTCAGGGGCGTTTTGGCGTACGGAGATCCTCATGCATTCAGCTTACCCGATATCCGTTTAGTCAACTATCAGTGTCCTTAGTTAGGGCGAGCGGCGTCTCCGAGTTGTACGAAATACGAATTGTTGTCTTCCGCGTTTTCACTTTTATCGAGGCACACTTCCTACATGTTGTTTGGTACTGATTGAGCAGCATGTGTATCAGTGTATCCGTGTGAACATCGCAATTTGTATTGATAAAGAGCCCTGTTGGACAGCCTAGGCGTTGGACAAATAGATAAATAACCGTGGCGTCCCACAAACCAAGCATTCTCATATATGTTATAGCTATGTTAAGTCTTGTTATCTACCTATCTGTTGATAGCCCTGGGGATACTTGGTGACAAGCATCTTGATATCCTCTATAGCCCTAAAAAGGAGTCAGTTGGTACATATATCTAGATATGTGTACAGAGCTGTTAAACGATCAACTTACATCTGTAAATACTCCTCGTTATCCGGAAATATAGCGGCCGCCTGCAGATTAAATTTCCTGAATGGGCAATAAGTCACACTGGAGTCTGTAAAATGCAGGCAGACCTCTTACGTGGAATAAAGTGCGTTCCGATCATCAAAGTCCTCTTCGGGTTCGGATGGGCGTATGTGAGAAAGATATTCCTCAAAGTAAATACTCGTAAACTTATTTCGACATGGGCGCCAGTTTCCCAGCTCATCTGTTCAAACGATTCATTAGTGGAATCTACATGGCAATGGAGTGCGATACTGGTATCGAAGTATGGCGTGGAGCTGCATACACTCATTGTGCGCCCAAAAGCTAGAAGGATCGTAAACGATGCTCTTCTCTACATCGCCGGAGACGACGCCGGTGTTTCCATACCACAGATCTCCGTGTACTAACGAAGGCTGTATTTGCCGCCCGCCACTTTCAAGTGGTCGGAGAAGCCTGGGAATGACCTTGTCAAATAGCGCGGGCTCGAGTGCTTCAAGTTCCAAGCTACGCCCAGCCCTCTTGAGTCGAATCTTCAAGACGTCGCGTAATCCGTCGGCAAAAAAGAGCTCCCAGCGATCGGACCAAGTATTCTCCTGAGGAAGGTCCCCGTTATACGTCCTGCAATGGAACCCAAACTGGCCATTTGGCGACAAAGAGCGGGAAGACAGATGCAGCTGGGCCAGATTCTTGCAGAAAGAAGCGGGCTCAGGCATGCCGCCGGTGAATTCATAAAACTTGCAAATATGAAAGTGAGAGTTCGACTCTGAGTTGAGAGTCCCCCATCCGATGGGTTTCGGGCAAAAGCTGGGGCTGATATTGTGAATAGCCAATGTAGATTCGAATTCGCCCTTTAGAGCCTCTTTACCTTCCTGATTGACAGACACCTGAGGCTGGTTAGCTGATTGACACTGGATTTCAACAGTATAAAGACCTTAATAAAGTAGCATTCTTCGCTGCCGTCTGTGTGGCGCACTGTCAGACGCAGGCGTCTTGCCCAGGCAGAATCCCCTATTCTAGTAAACTCTACCACCTCTGCCACATCTAGCAATACTAGATAAAATGACCCCCATTATTAGACAAGGATGAGTTGTAGAAGGGCAAAGGCTCGATAATGGGGCTCACCGGCGATAATGCTGGGATCTACCTGTAGCCACTCTCCTTTAACATGAACGACTCCGTCTAGCTTTACCATCTTTGAGGCCCCTTTTTTCTAATGCAGCTCTTTCAGTAAAAGATACAGAGAAGTAGCCTTGAGAGGCCCAAATAGATACACCATAAGTAGAAGCAGACCTACGAAGAGTATATTTCCACCCCGCTAGGTTGAAGTAATGCCTCATCATGGGGACAAAGCGGCCGCATTGACCTCTACCCATCTATTGTTGCGTACGTGTAGCTTTCAGCACCTAAGATATAAACCAAGGAATAATCCATCATTTTAGTTCAATTCAGCCTCATCCTATTTGGATCATGAAATATTTGCCATGAAGTCCAACATGGAATCGAGAGAAAAGGCCACAAGCATCTGTATCTTGTGATGAATGTCGCCAGCCGTAGTACGCTTGGCAGCGGACTGCCAGTGCCCTATGTTTTCGGAGCTAGATTCGCCAGACGCCCTATCAAATCCAACTCTTCGTTGCCTGAACGGTCAAGCAGCCCACATCGAATTTCTTCATTAACTACTACTATATCTGTATTTCTTTAGTAACTGCTATTATATATATCTTTCTTTAGTAACTACTATAATAATATCTTTCTTTCTCTAATAGCTGCTATTATATACATATATATATATATATATATATCTCTCTTCAGTAACTACTACTATATTTATATTATAATCCACCCCCCTCAGAGAATGAAGGTAGCAGGGTTCCAACGGCAGAGGGGGTGCCAAAGAGACGATTAATCAATTAAGTAAGGATGCCTGCAGAAGAAGAAGAAGAGTAGGCCTCTCTGTCGCAGACCATATTAAATACACACAGGCTGCCTAAGACAGCTAAAGCCCTATGTTAACAAACAGCAGGCGCAGCCCAGTAACTCCCCCCTAAACACAATAGTTTTTATTTAACCTATATCACCATCCTGCCTAAACATAATCTATATTATCTATGTGGGAAGAGACCCCCAACCCAGCGTCCCTGCACCTTAAACCTATCCGGTTGAATCTGGTATAACAGAGCTAGGCCAGCTTCTCGTAATCAGCACAAGGAGGTCGATTGTTTTAATGTTCTGTTGTGTGTTTAGGGCGGAGCCGCGTTAGCTTGCGTAGAGTGTGTGAATGTATGGTATTAGAGCGAGAGGTCGCTATCGTTAAACGAAGAAGAGCCTGTATAGAGAGTAAAAGGTTGTTATTATGAAGAGATCGCTATTAGCAAGAGGTTGCTATCAGCAAGAGGAGAAGCAACGTGAAAGGACCCCTCTGCCCCCTGTCTCGGTCACCAGAACAAAGAGGATCGCAGCAAGGGTTGGCTACGCAACCAGTAAAATTATGTATCTAGAAGAGGGAAAAGAGGGGTGGAACGTTACTCTCTCTCCAATAAGGCCGTGAAGATAAGTGACGGCCTCAATCACGTGACTTCGCGTTTTGATTACCTCTTAGCTGGAAGCCGCGTGAACTTTACTATTACATCTAGTACCTTAGTAGGTACGCCCTCTACTCATCTCCTACTTTTGCTTCCTTCGACTGCGTCTACTTTTTCTACTACATCTACTTCTTTCTACTATCCCCTACTACGTCCACTATCCCCTACTACGTCCACTATCTTCTACTACGTCTACTATCTTCTACTACGTCTACTATCTTCTACTACGTCTACTACGTCTATATCTGCCTTGCGAATCTGGTTACTCGTGGTCTTTGCATGGTCTCGAGATGACCCTTTCAGAGCAGCAGATCAAGGTCATCTCGGAACACCCACTCAATAATGCGCTAGATGCCCTCCAAAACAAATTCCGCGATATCAGCGGGTCGGATGATGCCCCTCGACAGGAAGATATTGCTGGTATATTAGGCACTCTACTCTGCTCTACCGCTGCATTCAACTTGGCTCTTCGGGACGGAAGCACTGTTGCAACCAAGTTATTCTCCATATTGCAGCATGTTCGGGGGGCGGGGGCGGGGGGCGAAAGACTCGGCCCATTTCGCCCTCTCATCCATCATATCGTCGAAAAATCCCTGGACGAAGTGATATGGACTGAAGTCTTCAACATAATTGATATTTTCGGTCAGCTTACGCCCCCTGTTTCTAGAATCAACCCGACGTTTAACGGAACGCCTGTCAAGTCCAGCTCCAGTCGACTTGCTGATAGCGAAACGTGTGCTATTGTCGAAGGAGAACTCTTCGAAGAGATAAAGAATTGCACTTTTCGCAATGTGGGCGGATTCTGGGATAAATTCTTTGACTCCAAGAGCTGGTGCGAGGCACATAAGAAGATGCTACGAGGAATAATGTCAGAGCACGATGGAAAGAGGTGGACGAGTTTCCCGCCTGTCACCGACGAAAAACCTGTCTGGGATTGGCTTCGCTCTCTAGAAGACCGTTTCCTAGCTGATGCTCCCTACAAGCTCCATACTACCACGACCGCCAACCAGTTTAAGGAACGGAAAGGCCAGATGGATTTCTTCTTCCGAACACCAGCCACCGCCGCAAACGGCACCTTTGAATACAAAGATGTCCTCGTCGTTGGCGAGCAAAAGAAGTCGTATGACTCAGGCAGATTCAAGGCGGATCTCCTTCAACTTTCGCGCTACGTGCGAAGCGTCTTCGCCGACTTACCGACTCGTCGATTTGTCCATGCGTTCACCCTCTGTGCTTCCACTATGGAGCTGTGGGTATTTGATCGATCTGGGGCTTACAGTTCGGGGCCGTTTGACATTCATGACGAACCGGATAAGCTTGCCCGGGCTCTTGTCGGGTACAGTACGATGGGGAACGATGCGATGGGTTTAGACACATTTATTAATCAAGTCCACGGTCATCAACATGTCACATTAAGCGACTTAAATGGCGCTGAGATGAGAATCAGGCTGGGGCGGCCAATAGTGAGGCAGAAAGCTATTGTGTGTCGGGGAACTACATGCTTCGAGACTCGAAATAGTCAGGTCGCCAAATTCTCGTGGGTACCCGATAAGAGAAAGCCAGAGGTGGAAACTCTAAAGCTAGCAGAAGAACGGGGTGTTCAGGGAGTGGCTAGAGTAGTTGCGTACCGCCAAATTACCACTGTTGCAGAGTTGCGAGAGGGACTGCAGTTTCCGGACCGCCATCGGTTTCGGAATGAAGAAGTCCACTACTTTGACGATCTGGGTCTATCAAGCATAAAGATACCAGCAAGCACGATGGCAAGCACAGAGATGCCAGCAAGCACAGAGATGCCAGCAAGCACAGAGATGCCTGCCAGCACACGACGACCTGCCAGCACACATAGGCTAACAAGCATGAAAAGGTCAGGCCAGAAGCGCAAGTCAGGGTCCGATCATACGTCTGACAATTCGTCAAATTCCAAGAGATTGCGCTTCAGTAGCGCAAGGCTGAAACATCGTACAGCGGTTAGCAATCAGCTGTCGGTTGATAGGGCTGGGTCGAACCTGCACACACCTGGGGAGGACTTGTGGGAGAATAGGATATACTCCTGTCTTGTTATCTCGCCAGCAGGCCGAGTCATCAGCAGCTTCAATACAGTCAAGGAACTGTTAGAGTCACTCCGTGACGCAATCAAGGCACACCGATCCCTCTACACGATGGGCAAGATTCTCCATCGTGACATCTCACCAAACAATATCATAATCACGAAGCCTAAGGCGGAGGATGGCTTCAAGGGCATGCTCATCGACCTTGACCTTGCGAAGGTGAGAGACAGTGGTCCAAGCGGAGCTCAGTATCAAACTGGTACAATGCAATTTATGGCAATAGAGGTTTTGCGCAACGTTGACCATACTTACCGTCATGACCTGGAATCTTTTTTTTATGTTTTAATATGGATGTGCGGGCGTGAATCTTGGAACAAGACCTTTACCCTTGGTGAGCTACCGCCAAATGGCAGTCGACTTCGCCTGTGGGAAATTGGGGGCTCCATCGCAATGTCTGATTCTAAGGCATATCATATGACCAGAGATGGTATAGATCTGATTATGAGGGAGTTTCCGGCGGCATTGAATATTGTCAAGCCTCTTTGCCTAAAAATCAGGAAGATTCTCTTCCCAGTAGATGCAGAGGGCAGCGTGAACATCGGGACTCCTGCGGGGGACCCCGATCGGCTGTACAGACCCATCATAGAAGCATATGATGCGACTATTCGCTGCCTATAGAATACAGTTTACGATCCTCCAAGTATCCATAGAGCATATAGGGTTATTGACGCTTCTGTGCCGGCACCACGCTGGTCTCCCAACTGCAATCTCATATAACCACCACCTATATGGTCCATATTACTACGGCGAATGAAGTAACAAGGTATAGACACATCGGCACTGTATAATGTAGGTAAGGATGAAAGAAATTATACACATAATAGCGGTTACTAAAAATATATAAATAAAGTAGCAATTGCTTAAGATATATATATATATATATATATATATTAGTAGTTACTAGATATAGATATGATAGCAGATTTTTTTTAAAGAAAAAAACAGGCGTATAATTCACTGCGCGGGTGTTTGAAATCTTCTCGGTCTTGGTTTTTCCGTCCTCCGCTTGGGTGCATGTGCTGATTGGCATCAGAGGTCTAAGAGAAGTGCAATGAAAACTGCACGGGCAGTGACACAATTTGGGGCAACACTGGAATCAAGTCGCTTGATTGCCATCGCCACTACAAAAGAACATTCCCAACCGCCCAACCACCCTCCCATGACGCCGTGTTCAAATTTGTACAGTTGTTGTTCTGTTTGCGGGGCTCCAGAACACCACGAGCACTAATGTTCGTGAATTGCGACATTTGACGTCAATGAAGGCGAGAGATATCGCTAATGCGTGTTCAGTTTGTGCTACCCCGGAGTAGCTGCTCCACGCAACAACGCCAAGCGGACACCGGTTGAACCCACTTGCCACTGGCCCAGGCTTGCTGAAACCACTCAACTCATACCGCCGTTTGCTCACTATGGACCTCTGTAGCCCCCTTTTTCATCAAATGATCCATTGATCCATTCAAGTCGGGTCCAAATCCATGTGCTGACGGGTCTTTTTTGTCCCATCGCTCTCAGTAGAGACACATGTACGAGTACATATCGGCATCATACAGTACTAGGTAGGTACCTATACGTGTACAGTACTACCTAACCACATGCAACCTTGCACACTCCCTCGGCAACACGCGTAAAATTGTTTGGCGCCAACTGACTGAGCCAGGCCAGGCCTGCAGAGTGCAGTTGAGCGCTTGCATCCAATTCCAGCTCGGCGGGAGCCAACATGAGAGGCCCTGAGCCACTGGAGAGGGAGTGGGGCGCATCACTTGAAGCAGCCCGCCTTGAACCTGGAAAGGCATCGAGGCCGCCTGTAAACGAATCAAGGTGCTCACTGAGGCTTGGGGCTGGCGCCTGTACCCGCGCTGATCCATGCCGCACCCGCTGCTAGCGACAGGCTCCTAGCAGGGCCTTTGTGCCGCCTCTGATGTCACTGACGCTCGACCGCCCAGTTTCTGATGGCGACGATGAGCGCGCTTCTGAACCCACCAGCCGCCAATCACGGCCGCGCATGACGTTCTGGACGAGAGGCCCAGAAACAAGGATTCGAGGACAAGGGACTGCGGTGTGACCTTATCGTGTAACAAGGGCACTAACAAGTCTAGCAATTGAACAGGCATTGATTCCATTCTAGTATGTTCATTCATTCATCGACCACGTCCAAGCTCTTTCAGCAAACGACAGAGGAAAAAAAATACCTTCTCCACCAAAAAGGGTTGCTCTCTCTCTCTCTCTCTCCACCGCTTCAATGAGACAACCAGCAAGCGCTGTCATTGTCGCCGACTTCGCCTTCTCCTTTTTTCTTTTAGCCCTCCATTCTCCCCTTTGATTGTGAACACGGCTGGCTTTCGTCTCCCCTCGACAAACCCTGAGCGCATCCCTCCAAGGCCCCCAGAGGGGCACTATCATCGTACCGACGCCCCTACAAATCTCGACTTAATACCACGATATCCGTTACCTCTCTTGACAAATGATACCTGCATTTCTTCCTTTACAACATACCTAGCTAGCCTCCCATCTGCATCCTTCACGTTACGCGACCATCCTTACCTCCAACCTGACGGCGGCGCGCCTCGTTTCTCTCCTCCCGCCATGGAGACGACATCGTTAGGCGGCGGCCGGCCATGGGCCCATGCCATGATCTCGACGGCAGCCACTCTGGCACGACGAGATAATACGCAGTCGGCGGGGAATGGCCAGAAGAGCCAAGGCATCGGCATTGTGAGCTTCTTGACGGCCATTCTGGTCTCCGTCATCATTTTCTTCGTACAGCTTTTACTTTTCGTCCTTTTGAGGAACAAGTTAGCAAGGGTTTTGTAAGTATCTCGTGTTGCGGCGTCTGAGTTTGTGTGCTGACGATGGCTTCTCTCGCAGCAAGCCCAAGACGTATCTTGTCCCCGAGCGCGAACGAACCGACTCGCCGCCAAACAACTTTTTTACTATGATCAGGGCCCTGATCATGTATAATGATCGACAAGTCATCAACAAGTGCGGGCTTGACGCCTACTTTTTCCTTCGATATCTTAAAACCCTCCTCATCATTTTCATACCCATTTGCGCCATCGTCATGCCCATCTTGATTCCCATCAATTATGTTGGCGGTCGCGGCAAAAATCTTGATTTTCGCACCAACAGCACCGATTCGGATTCAAGCACCAATAGCACCGATCCTGCCTTTGTACCCACAGGTCTAGACACCCTGGCCTGGGGCAATGTCAAGGCGACCGAGACTGGTCGCTACGCCGCTCATTTGTTGATGGCAATTCTCGTCGTCCTCTGGGTCTGTGGAGTCATCTTCTTCGAGATGCGCGCGTATATCAAAGTTCGTCAAGACTATTTGACAAGTGCGGAACACCGGCTGAGGGCCTCTGCCACAACGGTGCTCGTCAACTCCATTCCCTCCAAATGGCTCAGTGAGGATGCGCTGTCTGGTTTATTCGACGTCTTCCCAGGTGGGATTCGGAATATTTGGATCAACCGTGATTTGACGAGTCTCCTGGACAAGGTAAACCTTCGAGATAAGATTCATGCTCAGCTTGAGGCCGCCGAGACTGAACTGATCCGGGCAGCCAAAAGGGCTCAGCTTAAGAAGCGAAATGCCGAGGAAAAGAAGCAGCGCAAGGGGCTATCGAAGAAAGAAAAGGCCGATCGTCAAGCTGAGGAAGACGCAGAGGCCAAACGAATGGCAAACAGTGGCGAAGGGACCAATGACGGCAAGCAGCACCACGTCCCGCACACAGTTGCCGAGGGCGTTAGGGAGTCACGGATTGAGGATAGCCACAAAAGAAAGATGCGCAAGCTCCACGACGTCCGAGAGGAATCCGATGAATCTTCATCAGACTCTGACGACGACCGGAAATCCAATTCGTCTGACGGCAGCAGCGTGGCAGTACTTAGGAATATCAAGGGAGCTTTCAACAAGGCTGGCGATCAGATCGACGAGGTTGGGATGAATAACGGCTTTATAACTTTGGCGCGCAAACAGACTCTTCCCGGAGAAGACGATACTCCAAACCGAGGCTATCAGTCCTTTGAGGCCCACCGCACGCATACACATTCGCGGGGGGCATCCAATGCGTCGGCTGCTAGCTCTACCAGAGCTATTCGACAGAACGCACCGGTTACGGTGGAAGGCAACACGGTTCGAAAGCTCGAGAACATCGACGATATGTACAACATGGAGGAACCAAAGTTCTGGGAATTCTGGAAGACACCTGCCGGCGGATATGCATCTCCAGTCCCTCAGCAAAACGAGGCAGACGACTATATAGGCAAGCAAGGGCCTGAGAAGAGGACGCTGTGGCAGAATATAAAGGGCGTTCTTCCTTTTACGAGCGAAAAGGCCACCGAGACAACCGACTACCCCGCTGTCTACTTCAACGAGGAATACAAGGTGGAGGAGGAAGAAACCGATGCCGAGTGGGCGAAATATCTCAGGAAAAAGGACCGTCCAACTCATCGACTACCGCCCTGGGGAGTGACATGGCTGCCTGGCCTTCCGTTATTTAACACAAAAGTTGATACTATTTATTGGTGCAGAACCGAGCTGGCCCGATTGAATATGGAAATTGACGAGGACCAACAGCACCCCGAAAGGTTCCCCTTGATGAACTCGGCCTTCATACAATTCAACCATCAAGTGGCTGCCCACATGGCTTGCCAGAGCATTATCCACCACATCCCCAGGCAAATGGCACCACGAGTGAATGAGATTTCACCCCGAGATGTCATTTGGAGCAACATGGCCCTCTCATGGTGGCAGGAATGGGTACGTACAGGTGCCGTTACCCTTGTCGTGTTGGCCATGATCTTCCTGTGGGCCATTCCCGTTGCGTGGACGGCCGCCTTGGGCCAGCTGGATCAGCTTATCCAGCAGACATCTTGGCTCGGCTTCCTGAGAGATAACAAGGCTCTCGAGAATGCGGCCAAGGGTGTTGCAGGTGTTCTCCCGGCTGCCGTGCTCGCCCTGCTCCTCATCCTCGTTCCGATGATTCTGAACATCCTTGGTGAGATCAGGGGCGCCAAGACCGGAGCCCAAAAGGCAGAGTTTGTGCAAGTATTCTATTTCGCCTTCCTCTTTGTCCAAGTTTTCCTCATTGTCTCCATTGCCTCGTTCTTTGCCGCTTCGATCGACAAACTGGTCGACAATATCACGGAGCTCGACTCGGTCACCGCCGTGCTGGATCTTCTCGCAACGAACTTGCCAAAGGCTGCCAACTATTTCTTCTCTTACATGATTCTCCAGGCCATGTCTACCAGTTCCGGTACTCTGTTGCAGATTGGAGCCCTCTTTGTGTGGTTCATCTTGGCTCGATTGCTGGACAACACCGCACGCAGCAAGTGGTCTCGAAACACCACACTGAGCGATGTCAACTGGGGAACATTCTTTCCCGTCTACACCAACTTTGCCTGCATCGCCATCATCTACAGCGTCGTCGCGCCCCTCATTTCTATCTTTGCCGTCATCACGTTTGGGCTCCTCTGGGTGGCTCAGCGGTATTCCATGCTTTACGTTACTCGGTTCGAAGTCGATACCGGCGGTGTGCTGTATCCTCGTGCGCTCAATCAAACGTTTACGGGTATTTATGTTATGGAGCTCTGCCTCGCCGGATTGTTCTTCATCGTGGTAGATGATTCAGGCACCCACACCTGCACGCCACATGGTATTGTCATGATTGTGGTCTTGATCCTTACGATTCTTTACCAAATCCTTCTGAATAACTCGTTTTCGCCTCTGTTTCGATATTTGCCCATCACGTTTGAAGATGAGGCTGTGCTGCGTGATGAAGCCTTCCAGCGAGCCCAGGACCGCCGCTTTGGGCTATCGGGCGACTCAGACATTGACGATCACGAGGACGTTGAAGGCGGCCAAAGGGAGGAAGGTGGCACAGCAGAAAAGGCCTCCACCTCGATGGAAAGCAGAGAAGATATCGAGCTGAGCAACATTCAGCCAGGAAAGGGAAAAGTACGACTTGCAAACCCTGTGAAGAAAGTAGGATCCTGGGCCAAGGGAGGCGGAAAGCAGGTGGGATCCTGGGCAAAAGGAGGCGGCAACCAACTCCGAAAGCTGGCCATGATGGATAACAACTCTCAAGCTGCCGAGTACCGACGAAAGCAGCGAAGCAAGGATCTCGAAGCGCAGCGTGCCATAGGAGAGGCGCTGTACGGAGGGATCCACGACGAAATCGAGGACCTTACCCCCGAAGAGAGAGACGTCCTGGTTCGACACGCGTTCCTCCACTCAGCTCTGCGAGCTCGTCGACCTGTCGTTTGGGTTCCTCGAGATGACATGGGCATAAGTGACGATGAGGTCCGCCGAACCCGCAAGTACAGCGAGCACATATGGATCAGCAATGAAGGCACGGCGCTGGACAGCAAAGTGCGAGTGGTGTATGGCAGATACCCGCCGGATTTTTCGGAGATTGATCTGATTAACCTATGATGGAGAGAGTGGTGTTTTGAACAAGGGCTCTAGCGTGGCGTTTATACTCTTGGCATGATTATTTTTTGGCTATTTGCAGAAGAAGGAAAAAAAGAAGAAGAAAAAGAAGGTAAAAAAAGAGCGAAGGGATTTGCATGTTTCATGGCGTTTGATGAGACCGAATAAGAGAACACTGTATAGGTACACTCACGGAGAGGATGGCTACGATGAGGATAGAGGTGGATTGATCAAACGAAGGATTCCCACGGCCGGTCTGTCGGAGGTTGCATAGCGAAAGACTCTTTGCATAGAGTGCTCTTTATGATTTAATATGTATGCATACGAGGGGTGAATTGATTGATACGCAGTAATATGAATTGATATATATCAAATACGGCTTCTTTTCGTGAGTATGCCTTGGCGCATGGGGATGTTGAAATTGAAGACGACTGTGATGTGAGACAACGGTGGAATCAGGGGTTCTTGGATGATTGTTGATTTGGAATCTATTTCAGCACTTGTTTGGCGCGATGACGAAACGGCAGCTTTTGACCCCGCAGCTGACGAGACGGATTGCAAGTTTGAATCGATGGATGCGTTGAAGCATTAGAAATCAATTTGGATAACTCCGGGTTTTCGCTCTTGTCTCAGCCACATGCCAGCGGTTTGTTCTGATATATATCTTGCAAGTGATCCCAACGACGTCCGGTGCAACATTCGAACAACCAATTATACTCAAACTCACAAACTCACCAACTCACCGACCAAACAGGTAAACTAATTACCTGTTTTCTTTTCGTCACCTCCATCCATCATTTCGTTCTTCCGCCAAATCCTTAGCAAAATGGGCAAGCCCGTCGTCCCTCGAACCGGCCGCGCCACGGCGCGCATCAACGGCACCGTCGTCGCGGAGGCGACGGAGTGGCGCGAGACGGAAGGAAACGTGTATTTCCCGCCGGAGAGCGTCAAGAAGGAGTATTTGCAGGGCACGAACTTGACTACCTATTGTCCGTGGAAGGGGGATGCGAGCTATTACAGCATTGATGTTGGCAGTGAGTTATGTATATGCCTTTGCTGAGAGTGGGTTGCTAATGAAGTGTAGGTGCAAAGCATGAGAATGCGGCGTGGTATTACAAGGAGCCTTTGGCGGGGGCTGTTGATTTGAGGGATCATGTTGCTTTTTGTGAGTACATGCGTCTATTTTGATGCTTGAGATGAATGAATCTGGTGCTAATGCGTTTGGGGTAGACAAGACCAAGGTTGATGTTACGGTGGAGTAGAGGGACGGTAGAGGATGCGGAGTATGTCATGAAGCAATGAGAAGAATATCTAAATAAAGTATATTGAACACAATGCCAGTTTTAGTGTACCATGATGTGTAATATGTTATTGGTCTTGATCGTCTTGTAAACTGGCTGCTAGCCATCTATTAAGTTCAATGAACGCATCCAATATCTGTGTAAAGTCGCTTTGTGATTCCCCTTGCCCAACACCAGAAAAGTATACACACATACGCATACATGTATCAACCTCATGCCATAATGTCTTGCTCATATTAGTCCATTACCATCATCTTCAACGCCGTGTATCCTGTAAAAGGAAAAAAAAAAAGCACTCGCTTTATGCCGATATATAAATGCCCTTTGAAAGAACCAAGAAATAGTCAGAAACCAGAAATTGTCTATGATGACGCCGCTGCTTGCTTGCGCTTCTCCGTCGCTTTAACATCCTCCATTTCCTTCCTCATAATGTTGTTGAAGAATTCGGCATTGTCGAGGTATAGGTGGTGGCCAGCCTTGGGGACAATGACAACCTTGCAGCTTCCGTTCTCGTTGCGCTTCTCCTCTTCTGTGCCGGTGCGCATGATATTGGCCTTTTGCTGCTTCAGCTTCTCCTCAGCCGCAAGACCTCCGGCAACATCCATCCAGTCATTCTCTCCGTACATGAAGACGACGGGGATGCCGGTCTCCTTGGCAACCGTCTGGCCGTCTGGTCCGGTGATGGGCTGTCGGCCGACGTTCTGGATGCGGTTGATGACTGGCCGGCGAGCGAATGCTCCGGGTGCTAGAATATATGCCAAGGCATACTCGCCGCTGCCCTTCTGCTTGAAGATGGAAAACGAGTAGTCGTGCAGGGTTTGGGCTTCCTCGGCGGGGAGGTGGTTGAATCGTCGCGACGTCCAGCCAGATACGAATCGCGGGCCGAGAGGGCCAGCCATTCGGACAATGCTGAAAGGTGATACGTTGGCGTCCCAGAGCCAGACGAGCCAGCTGGGATAAGGGCGCCTGGGCGCAACGGCGGCACCGTTCTTGGTGGTCGTCGTGGTTTGCTGGTCTACGGTGAACTCGTTCTGCATCGTGGATTCGCCGGGTTCGGGGAGAGCGGCATTGACGGCATACGGGTCTTCCGGAATGCCGACAGGAGAAGCAAGGATGAGCTTCTTCAAGTGGCCCGGATACTTGAGGGCATAGGAGACGGCCAAGTAACCGCCCAGGGAGTGACCCAGCAGGGTAAAGCGCTCAATCTTCCTTGCCTTGCGCCACTCCTCCAGGGCGTCGATGAACCAGTTCTCCGCCTCAATCACCTTGCCCTCCTTGTCCTTGGCGTGGATCTTGAACGGCGGCCTGGACGAGTTACCCATGCCCAGCATGTCGAGGGCGTACAGCTTCAAGCCGGGGATGCGGGAGATGGGCTCGAAGTTCTTGTAGAAGAAGCCCAGGCCGGCACCGTAGCCGTGGACCATGACCAGCGTCTCTTCGGCCTCCTCGCCGACGCGCTCGACGGAGAATTCGTTGAGGGCGCGGTTCTTGCCGGAGAGCTGGACCATGGACCGCCTCCATATTCTGGTGCCGAAAGAGTCGGCCGTGTCGGGGGTAGAGAGGCTGCCCATGCTGGTGGTGGCCTCTTTGAGGAAGGGAATGTGCTTGAGCACGTTGCGCTCGGCCATGGAGGGCGTAACACTCGACCACTAGACACGACACCCTTGGTTAGCACGAGTCTGGAGATGAAGGAGGCGAATTCGCAAACCAAAGATGCACTACTATACATACCCATTGATAGGCGGCTTCCTTGTATCCCAGAGGAAAGTAGGCGCCCGACGGCTGCTGCTGAGGCCGCTGTTGCCGCAGCTCTTCAGGTGCGTCCGGCGGCGGGTGAGCCCGGATCGCATTCTCGGTGGTGGACATGTTGGACGCTGTGGCGGGGAGAGAAATCGAAGAGGTGGTGATGTTGAAGTTGAGGCGCGATCGGTGCAGAATCGCTGTCACGGTCTGCGTCTTGAGCATTGCCTAAAAGGAGGCGTTTCTGGGCGGAGCGCAGCTTTTAATGTAAGAAGAAAGGGAAAAAAAAGGCACAACCAGGCACCCGTATGACCAACAAATGCTCGAGTTTCGCGACTCTGGGCCACGCAATTCGTTCGTGTGTTGCAGGGCCGGATTTGGGCTGGCGGAGGGACGGCCGGAGTTTAGATAGAGGCTTGGCTTGGCTCGGGGTTTGGCGGATCCGGATTCCGAGACGACGGTGCAGATGCAGATTTGGGGGGGTGGCGCACGCGATGGTGATTGAGCGAATGCGACGGGAAGTGAAGCGATGCAAGAGGCTGACAGTGATGATGACGATGTGAAATGAAGAAGAAATTGGCGGTTGTTTGTTATTATGAATGAGTGCGAGTATGTAAGAGAGAGAGAAGTGATGAACAGTGAACAAGTGCAGGCCAGGCGGTCATGGATCAGAGTTGAGCACATGTGCAAGTCCAGTCCCTATTAGTGCTGGTTTTAGGGGTCTGCAATTTAATAGGGGGCAGTTTTTGTTGAGCTCAGCGCATGTGGGCGGGTGACCTGCACAAGGGCCCTGTAAAGGCCACGGTTTCGCAGCACATGATATTGATGGACAAGTAAGCCAGAGTACCCGGGCAATGAATAATAATGATTTACAGCGCATACGATTTCTGTCTCGTCTTCACTGCTAGTATCGACATATTCATCCAGTCTATGATGTGTGAGGCTGTGGTTGCTGCAAAGTATCGGATCCATCGACATGCATCGTCATATTGACCGTATACTTCATTGTCCGCTTTGCCCGGAATGGCCGACGAAATATTTGCTCCGGAGTCCGTCCTGCCGCTAAAACCATACGCAGATGGAAAGGCAACTTTGGCCGTCGCGGCGAAGCAAAGAATATTAATCTTTTGGCTGGAGAACAAGAACCCTGTTTCAGTGTACATGTATGTGTTTGTGCGAAACTCGGCAGGTGGCTGGACGAGGGAAATATAACGACGCCTCAAGATAGGCATCTAAAGATACGGAGTAGATCGAGAGAGAGACAGAGATTGAGAGACTTATTCCCTCCCATTCTTTTTCGCATGTGACGCACGACTTGCTCGCTCCACCAATCGACAACGGAATTCAAATCTCCACCACATCTCGAGCCAATCTCCGCCAAACCGTAAAATGATCGATTTCCATCGCCGGATTTCTACCTATTCTCCACCTATCCGTCAGGAAACATCACAAACGTCTTCGATCAGCCATTCGTATCGATACGTGTATAGAGCCGGGATCTCCAGAAGATCTAGGGGTGGCTTAGGGAAATATACACGTACCTTGGACTCTCTTGCTTCAAGCTTCGGGAGCTGCCTAGCCTAGGTACATGATGCAGTCATCTTCTGGTGGCCGGCACGATTTTGTCGAGTCAAACCTTTTTGATCGACACTGCAAATACAGGTACATGTATGTAGACGCCGAATCGTTAACATGTTTAAGACGGTGCTTTCTTCGAGTCCCACGCCATGCACCACAATTCAGCAGAGTTTCTCCATGCACGAGATACATGGAAATACCCCATTGCAGAGAGGCATATACAATTGGCCGACAGTGCCAGCCAGAGCGGAATTGAGAAAGTTAGACATCGTAGGCACTGGGTCCAGCTTATCAGAGTTTGCAAAATCCAAGTGGTATATTGTGTTTAAATAAGTACATGTGGTAGTTTCTCTACGTGGTAGGTCGTTTTAGATTTCAGCTCTCAGAATTCGACACAACTCAGCATCCTTCTTCGAGAACCCTCTCCAAAATGAAACCGACATCGTCTTCATTACGGTCACGTCAAGGCCCAGATCTATCGCCTCAGAAAGAGCTGCTATAAGCTACCAAGCATGTCCGCATCACCAGCTTCGTCTCGCGGCTACACGGGCCTCAGGCCTCACCTCCAAGTTTACGCTCACTGCGGTGCCTGCAACAGGCCTGTAAGAAGTAAAGATAACCTCGTTGCAAGTGCGAATAAAAAGGAATCCTCGCAGTGTGCTGGGGGAGAATTATGGCACGCTGACAAGCAATCTTAGTCCATTTCCGTCTTTTCAGGACATTTCAAGGCGCAATACACAAGATTCCCTTTTTCAAAAAAGGTGAGCTTGTTAAACAGGGAAAGCGTGCTGAATTTTGCAAAGATGCGGATTGCAGCAGATGTTCCATGAACAAGTTAGGAGCTGTGACAATTCACGCCGATTGCTTCCACCTTTTCAACAAATATTGTCATGCCGACGACAAATACGCGCGACTATGGGTGGCTGCCAGAAGAATATTTCCTGTAAGGACCAGCTTTCGCGTCGAGCAACACTACGACCCGGTCGCGTCCCAGCAGCTCAACATCGTCTTCGAACTTCTTGGGCTTGAGACGTTGCCTCTCAATCTCTTGAGAGACATTTGGGACCTTGACCCTACCTCCTCTCACGTTGTTGCCAGGTTCTGCTCTGTTCTGCAGCTTGCCACAGAGATGAACTCTGCTCCTACGGTCCCCAGTACCTGTCCTCTCGAGCAGGTACTTTTCTGGAAACGCGGCCAATATCATATTGTTCATAAAGACATAGGATACGAACTGCCGTTTGTTCGACTCACGCTGGATTCTCGCGGTGTTAAGAAGCTCCAAAGGGTGGAAACTGCAGACATCCCCAGATCTGATACGGAAGCCTACGCTGTCCTACACGTATCCAAGGCTTCAAACATGGACGCCGATTTTCGTGTGAGTAGTTGGATAGATGATATTGCCAAACTTGGACACGCTTTTACTAACGTTGGATTGATCAAGTTTGGCGTATGCCAATGTGTGCATTTGCCTCCAGAGTATAACGAATAGGCTACGTACTACTGGCTACTATATCTGTACTCATCCCAGCCTTGTTATTGGTTAATAGCATATTACCAATGGAACAGATGGAATGAATCAGTTTACAGGGAAATGGTGCCGCAGATATTGATCTTACTTGATTGTAGGAGTCATGCCACATGGGATAATATGGGGAGAAATTGGATATGTTGTCGTCTCAGTGTAAACCGACTTTCATACGAGTTATAAGAGAAAACATCATAGTACGTGAAAGTAATGTTCGAGGCCTAATGAAACCTACCTTTTTCTTTTAAACGGCCATGTGCTATCCATTGTATGATAGCTGCGTACTATGATGGCAACGATTTGATGTCGGCAGAGGATGTGGGTTATGGAAATTGTCTTCGGGTTGCAAATACATACGCTGCCCAGTGATTCTGTACTTGGACGGCTAAGCAAACAATTGAATTCTTGCTTAGATAGCCGATATCATCTTAATTATACCACAAATCGCGCTCTTATATTTTGTCGCCTAGAAATCGATATTGAAATGCATGCCAAATACTCCAAGTGCCGATGAACGAGGCACTCTCGTATGCTTAACTCCGGGTGCCGCACCGAGTACCTGGAAGTATATATTTCTGGCGGTTTAGTGGACATATGCGCTATGATGAGCGCCATGGTACTTGAAAGCTACGCTGACTCCTAGCAAATCCCGAACCGTAAGCACCTTGGTCTTCTCGTAAGCATTCCAACTCAACTTTCTTGCTCGGGTCTAAGAAGAATCTCCTATCCCAGGTTTCAACAACTACTTTCATGTTAGCAGCGTATTCATCGGCATTTGAATGAATCGTAATCAAAAGTCAACCACAAACGTACCAAGCTTTGGCTGCCATTGACGCACAATACCTTCAGAGTAAGCGTGGCAGGAGAGTAAAGCATCGAGGCCAGCATGAGAAGCCGAAGCGACGCAGTTCCGCAGCTGGTTGGCAACGAATCCAACCTTGGAAAACCACCCGCGCAAAGGAAATCAAGGCAACGTCCAAACAAGCCAATCTCAGCCGAGAGGCGTATGCAAAACTGCAGAGCTCAGAGGGCGTATCGTCAACGGAAACGAGATAAATTGAAAGAGCTGGAAGCCAAAGTTGCCTCCTTGGAGCCCGGGTACAATAAGCCTGAGTCAGTTCCTAACAGGACTGCAGGGACGCCTCCAACGACTGCGGATCCCTTGCGGATAGAAAGCTCGCCATCTTTGCAGACACTTGCTTTGACGTCTACTGCTATCGATTCGTCGCAGTCTTACAGCTTGAACGCTTGGGACTACAATACCAACGTTTGGCTAGATGATCCAGCAACCAGTTCGCTCAATGTTGAAATGATGACCTTACCTCAGATCAGTTCCGACGAGGGCCTGCCAACAGTCTTAGAGAACAATCCAACAGAAAGCTTCTCTGATATGCTTCATAATACTGATACAAGAGAGTTGTCGAGCATGGTCACACTGGACGCATCAACATCAACTACGGCTGGGTTTTCCGATAATACTGCTACTGCAACGTCGTCATCCTCTCTCCTTTCTGTCAATACATCAGCATCTATGTATTCGGCCTCAAGATCGCATACTTGCAAAGACATACACATCCATCGGCCCAGTGGCAAAGCGCTCATCAGAAACCCACAGCTCATCCGCAAGTGGTTTCAAACTCTTCCCCAGTCTACGCGACGTCTCCTCGCTCAACTGGCCAAAGACGGCGATTTCAGTTTTGTAGATGTGATATCATCTCTACTACTGGCTGAGACGAACTCAAACAATATCGAAGACCAAATTCTTCAAGGCAGTGACCCAGATAAGACGGAAGCACGACTATCGGAGATGAGATTCGCCATATCGCCCGCGACATCTTATTCACCCTACCGCAATGCACTTCGAATCGCGAGATTCTCTTATTTCGCAGCTCTGTTTACTAATTTTAGCTCGCTTGGATTTGACTTTGGCCTTTTTCTTGACGAGCACAGTCTATCTCCTTTCTGCGCCAACAGCCCAGCTGAAGACGCCAATACTTCTACAGCGACGCAAGATGAAAATATTCCCTTTAGCTTACGCCCAATTTCGTCTCAGTATACTATATCACATCACCCCTACATTGATGCATTGCCATTTCCCACCTTCCGGCGGCGTGCCTTGGCCGCTCTGGCGGCGGATCCTCCTCTGTTGGACGAGGATGATCTGTGTCTGGATCTCATGTTGCATGATGGGCTTGTGTGCTGGGGCTCCGCCGGCCAGAATGGTATGGATTACGGCACGCCGTGGGATAGCCACAGCTGGGAAGCAAAAGAGTGGTTTTTGCGGAAATGGAAGTGGCTTGTTGGTGGACAAGATGGTGAACTGTGGCATAGCTCGCGGTGGTGGGCGGCACAACGGGGAGAGTACATATCTATGAGAGATTAAGAAATGATGATGCTTTCACTTTTGAAGTAAAATCAGTATATACACTTGAATTACTCATGCGGAATTATCGGACTGAAGATATCGCCGTCAGCGATGTTCTTGGTGTTGCTTACGCTCGCGTTGGTGATAGCGTCATCACTTTTGGGGACAGCAAATTGACGTGGATTTGGATATAAAAAGACCCTTCCAGCTATACTACTGAGAAAGATGGCACAAAAGCAACGGTCTCAATCAATATCTACTAAACAACAATCAACATGGCAGAGTTTGGATTCCATACAACATCTGACGAGGCCGCCACGGCTCTCAAGGATGCCATTACCGGAAAGACGAGTCAGTCGTTTTTACCCTTTCTTCTTCAACATCTATTTTTGCTGATTTTGGGCATTTAGTTCTTGTAACTGGTGTCAGTCCGAATTCTCTAGGCTCCGACACAGCTCGAGCCATCCTAGCTCAGAAGCCGGCCAAACTTCTCATCGCCAGTCGAGCGGCCGACAAGCTGCAAGATGTAATCAAGTCCCTAGACATCCTTCAAGGCACCGTCGTGCAGCCCATCGTGCTTGATCTCTCCTCGTTGGAAGCCACCCGCAAGGCTGCCGCCGAGGTAAACAGCTCTGTTACGGTTCTTGATGCCATGATCTGTACCGCCGGCGTCATGGCTGTGCCGTCATATGAGAAGTCCAAGGACGATATCGAGATGCAATTTGCTGTTAACCACCTCGGACACTTTCTCTTCATCAACTTATTGATCGAGAAGCTGCTCGCCTCGGAGCACGGCGTCGTTGTGACCTATTCGAGCGAAGCTCAATCCCGCGCCAGTCTCTCCTTCTTGGACGACCTGTCGTACAACAACGGCAAAGACTATGAGAAGTGGAGGGCGTATAGTAATTCCAAAGCATGTGATGTGCTTTTGTCAGTTGGCTTAGTCCAGCACTTTGGCCAGCGGGGTTTACGCTCTTTCAGCGTTGACCCCGGTGTTATTGTCACCACAGGCCTGACGAGGAGCGTTCCGATGGAGGATTTCAAGGCCCTCGGTGTGTTTCTCGCCTACTCTTCATTATCTGTGTTTCCTTAGTTGCCAGGATTCTAATTTGAGACAGGCTGGATCGACGACAACGGTAACCTGAACTCGGCTATCAAGGCCAAGACCCTGGCTGAGGGATCTTCGACCGGAATCATCGCCGCTTTCGACTCTCGACTATCCAGTACGTTGCTCAGCTCGTGGTAGCATTCCTGCAGCTCAACTTTCCTCGTACAACCTAATCAAATACTAACATGTTTTGTTAGACAAGGATGGCTACTACTTGGCCGACGGAGTCTTGACACAAGAGGGCTTATTGCCGGGGGCTGTTGATGCTGCACAGGCAGAAAAGCTCTGGCGTATTAGTGAAGCTCTGACGAAGCAGGCAGCTTAAATTCCACTCTCTATACATTTATCTTGGACGCTTGATTATATGTATACCATGTCGCTTGCAATAGCATAGTAAATGTGGCTTACATACCATTCAAGCTTTCGGTGACTGGCCGTCGTGAATACACTCATCCGCAGATACCTGGAACTTTGCCAAAGTGCACGCAACTTTTCATCAACAATCCTGTGCATTAGATGAAGTTTGTTTCATAATCACATGATAAATTTCTGATATTGATTCAGTTTTTCATAATGTGATGTAAAACATTGTCGGCGCAAGACCTGGAACATTCCGCATTATGACGTCGGGGTGATCACTTCCGCGTCCGTTCAATGTTTCTTCTCAACTGCTTATTTTCAAGCTTAAGCTTTGCCAGCAATTCCTGCAAACTCCAATGATGAACTCACAATGTCGTCATAGCGGAATAGAAGACGATTCAATACACGTCACATAACGTTTTTCGTGTAAATAGACACCGACGATTCTGCTGCTTCATTCCTCCACATCAATTTAAACTGCTCTTCTTCTCTTATCTCTTCCTACATCTACTCATCATTCATTTCGGGTAACCCGCAGCATACAAGGAACAAGTCATAATGGATTACAAGGCGGCATTGGTGAACGGGATCGATTCCGACTCCAAGGGCAATTCAAAATCAGATGCGGTGACCAGCCACATCCATGCTGCGCCAATCACCCTTCAGCGAAAACCTTTTCTTCAGCCAGAAGGAGATGTGAGGCTCTCTCATACTGGTAGGTGATTAAGAGATGGACAAGTGGCATATTTCTGGCATCGTAACTGAGAGTTGAATGTAGGCACGCCGAGAGCAAATATAGCCGCAACGTACGACCAGCCGGAAGGCTCGCAAGCTGGTAACTGGGCAAAGGAGCATCAAAACCAGACTGTGAGTCAACATTTCGTATCATGAGTGTTTTGCAAAGCTCAAAAACTGACGCGCGATATTGAACAGGTCCTGCAACAACACTGTGACTACTTTGACCGTGTAAGAGAATTTAACGCCCGTCTTTCTGGTTAGCCCACCTTCTAACTACGATACAGGATAAAGACGGTATTATTTGGCCTCTGGACACCTTCAAAGGCCTCCACGCACTAGGATTTAATTTCCTGTTCTGCACCATCGCCATAGTTGTTGTTCACCTCGCCTTTTCCTACCCGACCGTCGCCGGACTCCTCCCCGATCCTTTTTTCCGCATCCATCTCAAAAATATTCACAAGACCAAGCATGGAAGCGATAGTGGAACATACGACAATGAAGGTCGCTTCGTGCCTCAAAAGTTTGAAGACATGTTCTCCAAGTACGCGGACGATAAGGACTACATCACCGTACGGGATGTATGGAACATGCTCAAGGGCCAGAGGTTACTAGCAGATCCATTTGGCTGGGCAGCCGTTTCTATTGAATGTTTGTATAACGACTCTCCGGGTGGGTGACGCACAATGGCTAATATTGACGTAGGGTTCACAACCTACCTCCTTCTCTGGCCTGAAGATGGGCGCATGAAGAAGGAAGATATCCGAAAGCTTTACGATGGGAGTCTCTTTGACGAGATGGCAAAGGAGAGGAAACACTCGGGCAAATAATCACATCACATCATGTCATTCACAAAAAATGATGGAAAGGGGGCATATATGCTTGGAGTATGGATAGGGTATAAAAGCACCGTTTCTCCACGTCACTGTAACTGAAAAACTCTCGCTTTTTGGGAAATGATGATATAAACGGCTGCTATCCATGGCCAAGTTTGCGTGGTTGTGATTAAACCCCTGCCCCATAGATGATAACTGCCGTTGTCTGTAATTCGTCTACTTGGGGGTCGTTTTTGAACGTAGACCTACTTCGTTCGCCTCGTCTCTTACTCATCTACTAATCCGTCGTTTTGACTTGCATATTGTTCGTCCAACCGCCGACGTCAGTCTGTTCCAAACGCCGTCATGCATGTGCCTGCAAAGTCATCCTGGTAGGTTTGGTGTCTTTGGTGTCTGAGTTCAAATACCATCCTCCAACTAACTACTACAAACAAGTCAAGAGAGAGGCATACAAGTATCAATATCCGTTGCCGAAACCGGCATCTTACCTTTCATCTATAATTTATTTGTCTAGCCGGGTTGGAGTCAGGGTTTCTCGAAGGCCTTCTTTTCTCCAGATTGTTTCAGGGTAGCGCAGCTCAGTTGCTTTTCCCATCGCACGCCATCTCTTATACGAGTTCGTATACGAGTACGATGCCGCTTACTGCGGTGCTACAGCCTCGTTTTGAACAAGCAACCATCAACTCTTTGACCCTTTTCCTGCATTGAATTTTGTCAAAATGATTCATGCTGCGTCAGTGAGCATGTACATAAGACGGACTCCACTAGAGGGCCACCTGTTAGGTACCTAGTATAACGACCTTTCACATGCTTCATCAATATTCAAGATGATTGACTTGCGGGTTTTGAGTAAAGCGGTTTCCAGCTAAAGGGGGACATCGCAAAGGATCAGCTGGATATCAGTTTGACTAATTCTCTTTGCCATCGTGGTCATCACGCTTGGGCATCTGATTCTACCTGCATGTACTCTCTAGATATGTACTATATTTTGAAGTTAACAACGATCAAGGGCCCGACGGGAGGACCATTACATCAGCACATGTAACCCCGGCATTCTATTTCATCTTCTAGCGCTGTATTATTCGAGATGAAAAATGATGCACGTCTTTTTCGAATTCGCTCGCTCTTTCGTATTATGAACCTTCCGCCATCGTATTCGTATCCAATCCATTACAGCATACGTCGAATCTCCTGCTCGTCGGTGTACTTGTCCAGTCCGGAATCAAGGCTCTCCCACCACTCGAAGAGCATCGAGTTGCAGATCAGCTTGAACCAAGGAGTAAACTTGAGGCTGGGGTCTTCAAACAGCTTCTTGAGGCCATCGGCAGTGACATATTGAGTGGCCTGCACTTCGTTCTCGTTGGGGTTGAGGTCGACGTTGGCCTTGATGAAGAGGATGTAGTCAACTAGTTGAGAGAAATCGTTAGTTCGAGTTCCATTACATGGCCTGTAGATGGGACCGCTCAGTCTCGTACTCTCGTGCTCGCCCCATTTGCCGTCGCTGGGAGCCTTGTAGTGGATTCGGGTCAAGAAGCGGAAGTTTTCAAACGGGACCTGCTCCTTCTTGATGCCAAGCTCGTGATCCAGCTTGCGCTGAGCCGCGCGCTTGGCTCCGGCAATAGAGTCGACCAGGTTGGCGCCCGTCTCGGTGGGGATGCTCAGAGGGTGGGAGCAGCAGGTGTTGGTCCACATGTCTGGGAAGGTGATCTTTTCAGAGGCGCGCTGCTGGAGGAGCAGCTCGTTCTTGTCGTTGAAGAGGAAGACGGAAAAGGCACGGTGCAAGAGTCCCTTGTCGATGTTGGTCATCAGGTGGCCTAGAAGGGCTCGTGTTAGTCGAGAGAGTTGCCGTACTCGTCCCTGGAATTGGATGGAGAGGGAGAAGAGAGAAGAGAGGGGTTCCGTACAAATCTTCTTGCTTGCGGTGCCAATTGGCGCATCGTTGTCGTCCGTTACGATGCAGACCTCGTCCATCAGGCGGATCTGCTCTTCATCGTGGCCCGAAAGCGCCTCGCTGGTGGTGTCGATGTCGGGGAAGAGACGAAGGATGGTCTCAGCCGTAATGGGCTGCGCCGCTGTCGTTGTGGTGGTGGTTGTCGACATGGCTAACGTAATGTTTTTGTTGTTGCGCAGAGTTGAATTGGCCTCGAAAGAGCTTGTTCGACGCCTCGCAATGGAAAAGAAAAAGAGCGCTTCACTTCAGCCTTGAGTGGCGATGGGTATCAAGATTAAATATGAAATGAAATTATGCCCCAACCAACAATTGCCGAAAGGGAAAAGCCCCTCCTCTATCTGGCATGGACCCTTGGCGGCCTCGTGGGGCTAGACTGGGCGAATGCGATTGGCTGCCCGATTGTGCGGTCAGGCTCTAAATTCCAACAGGCACAGACGGCTCAGCAGGCTCTGGGTCGCTACAGTGCAGTACGAGCATTTTGATGTTATCAGGTACTAGGAGGTAGGTACAGGTACAAGTGGTTCTTCTCTTGTCGTATTCTCATGTACAAGTTCTGTTGAAATCAGTTCGTCAATACTAATCCGCATGCATTAATACCATTTATATAATACGACATCTTTTTTCTCATTCATCTTGTTTACAAGCACAGACTTGTATGCACATTCGCATAGTGACCAAATGAGGCCCTAGACTCCGCCAATCCGGGCTCAGGTACATGCGCCCCCGTTCTTTAGTAGCGTCCAGGTACAAAGGGAAAGTACCTACAGATGGGCTCTCCGTACTTGGCATCACCAAGCTTCGTCACTCACTGCACTGCTCCTTTGTCCTGCGCCCCTTCACTCACTACCGTCTATTGCCGCCGGTTTCGCGACTCGCGAGTTTTCTGCGTAGTCTTTGGTATCCTGCTATTCCGCATTCGCTTTTTTGGCTGCGACCGGCGACTGGAGTTGCGTGTCCAACTCGTTGATTGAACCAACCCCCGAATCTCCAACCCCTCGGATCCGAGCTCCGAAACGATGGCTCCTCCCAAGATCGAGCAGAAGGAAATTGAAACATACTGGAACATCTTCGTGGACAGGACAGGAGGCGGGCAGTTCCTTACCGGCGAACAGGCTGCGCCCGTCCTCAAGAACAGTGGCCTTCGCGATGACCAGCTTGAAAAGGTCTGGGACCTGGCCGACGTCGACAACGATGGAAACCTAGACTTTGAGGAGTTTTGCGTCGCTATGCGACTCATCTTTGATATCCTCAACGGGGTAAGCTACTTCAACTGCGTGGCCTGTGACGCGTCCGTCCCTAGCAAGCCGGATTAGAAACTGACCAACTTGTTCGCGTGCGCCAGGAGTTTGCCGATGTACCAAAGACGCTCCCTGACTGGATGATCCCCGAGTCGAAAGCCCATCTTGTGCAGGCAACCAAAGCCATCACGGGGAAGCAGCCGCAGTTTGAACAAGTCGAGGACGAAGACGATACCCCTGGCCTGAAAGATGGATTCGAGTGGTATATGAAGCCCGAGGACAAGGCCAAGTACGAGCAGATATATCAGGAGAGCCGAGACATGCGAGGAGAAGTATCATGTTAGACGCCCCCCTTTCCCTGTTTCTATCTGGCTTGGGCGGGTGCGACAGAGATTGACCGGATTTTGTAGTCACTTCCCTCGAAGACCTCTATGAGTCGTTGGACGTTCCCGACACCGACGTTCGATCTGCCTGGAACCTCATCAACCCATCTGCCTCATCGAGCATCAACAAGGATGCATGCCTTGCATTCCTCCACATTCTAAACAACCGACACGAGGGCTTCCGAATTCCCCGCACAGTACCCGCCTCACTGCGGTCGAGCTTTGAGCGCAACCAGATCGATTACCAAGTCGACAACCAAAGGGGCGGAGTGTCATCACGGTGGGCTACCAAGGCAGATGACTCTACAGCGACGGGACGCAAGGCCAAGTTCGGCGATCAATACTTGACAAGACTCGGACGCAGCGGTTTCAAGACGGCAGGCACCGACTTCTCGACGGAGAAGACGGAGGATTGGGAGGAAGTGAGGCTCAAGCGCCAACTGCAGGACCTGGAGGACAAGATGAAGAAGGTCGAAGAAATTGCAGAGCGGCGGAAGGGCGGCAAACGTGATTCTAAGCCGGCGCTCGTCAAGCGAGAGCTGGATCAACTTCTTGACTACAAGCGAAGGGAGCTGAGAGACTTGGAAGAGGGCAAGGGCAAAAGTGCCGTTGGTGGAAACCTGAAGAGCATATCAGATGACCTGGAGACGGTCCGTGAGCAAGTGGATGGCCTAGAAGCGCACTTGAGGTCTCGAGAGCAAATCTTGGAGCAGTTGCAGAGAGAGATTGACGACGAGAAGAGGGGTTGAGTATGTAGTTGGGGGTTCGATGGATGGTGGAATCTGAGGGTATTTTAGCTGGGGCGGTTGTTTTTGCGCGTGAACCAGACAGCGAGATTGGTTGATTGATGGTTTGCCGGTATATAAATGTACATGTATAGATGAGGTTGTTAATCAAAGGTGAAGTTTAATTTCAACACGGCTTACGAGATGAGTAGACGGACAGGCTTGATCCGGGCCTGGCCTGGCCTCGCCTCGCGCGTACAAAGAAGCACCTCTTTTTCAAACCTACTAAGAATCTACGAGTATGAGATTCTGTACTGTTGCTTCATGCTCAAACTCATGGCGTTGCGTCCATGTGAGCTACTGTATACTCGTAATGCTCCTGGGCTGCAGATGCCTCCAACATGTGATTCTGCCGCTCTGTACGTGACCCTCAACAAGCCAATCGCAAAGCCCCAACAAAGCGTTCATGCTCGTCATTTGCCCCTCCCTTGGCCCTTTCCCCTTATAAACTGCTACCTTAGTTCAGCTCGGCTTTACCCCGCTGTCCCGGACCAAAAGCTACCAAGAAGCTTCAATTCTTCTCTCCATCCTCATCAGACCACTTTCTCTCTCCATCACTGCTATATACGCCATCAAAAAATTTAACACCAAGAAACCGAGAGAACTCAAGTCGTCATGTCGCACCCAGAGTCCCCCGAATTTCAGCAGGCCCAGCAGGCCACCGAGGCTTTCACCCAGAAGCCTACCAACGACGAACTCCTTCGCCTCTACGGTACGCGAACGACCCCTTTGGAAACCCATGGCCGTGCTTGAGCTGGGCGGCCCAAGGCAGCTTTTGAAAAGTACATGGAGTTTGTGGCGAGTGCAATGTGTTGACTTGTTTTGTATAGCTCTTTTCAAGATTGGCAAGGGCTTCGATTTGGAGTCGGCTTCCAAGCCTGGAATGTTCGACATGAAGGTGCGTTGCGTGACGAGAAACCCTCCCCATGCTTGCACTGCACTCCCATGTACGCGTTTATGGTGCTGACGTATGATTGTGATGCAGGGCAAGGCCAAGTACGCGGCGTGGAAGGCCGCTTACGAGGAGGAGGGCATCACCGACCCCGATGAGGCACAGAAGAAGTACGTTGAGTTTGTCGAGGGGCTCAAGTCCAAATACACCTGATTACAACCAGCCTCGGGGTTGAAGTGGAAGGGGGCATGTTGCGAGCGTTATGCATGTTGCTAGAGACGCATGGCTCTTGGGATAGAATGCCAGTTAGCATGAAGAATAAATAAATAAATCGGCCATGAAGAGATCTGTCTCTGCATTGCCCTGGGGGTGGCCGTGGCCAACCTTGTGATGATCAACCTGGACTTTGAATCGCATTGACGCCTCGGTTAGCAGGTCATGCCCTACTACACCTAGGTACCTAGATACCTACCTAGGTAGCTGTCTGTAGCATGTGCCGTTTCGCATTCCATTGAATGACTTGGAGCTTCTTGGGGCTTGCAACAAAGGCTGGACGTGGCCCTGCGTAACGGTGACTGCACCGATATAGAGATTCCTTGGAGAGTCAATCGCATTGCCAGGAGGTGGCTGTTTGGAAGTGCATGGATGCACTGTATTAAAGACAGTTAACAGCCAGTTATAATACCCACTGTAGGTATCCTGCACTGACCTTGCTATCGGTAGGTACATGCACATACAGGTATTCTTGCATCAGCTCTAACAAAGCTTCTTATCCCACGATGCAGCATGCTTAACTTACATCCATACATGGCTATTGCATGCGAGTAGTATAAGTACATGGAGTATAGCTTTCCCATATGAGATCTCATCTAGACATTGAAGCCATCGCTCGAAATGGCAGGTTCAACAAAAGGCCTGCTTCTACACCCAATGCGGAGTAGAGCTGGACCCAAGTGATGCATAATGCAGTATTAGCCACCTCAGCGAATCCTTCGGCCCCCCTTAGGGCCTAACCGCTCACCCATACATAATTCACCCCGTTCTCCTTATCCTCATTCATTCTCTTCCCTCTTCTCTCTTCAACTTCAGCGGCTTCCTCCCACTACTACTCATCATCCTATCTAATTGGTTCTGCATATCATGAATATATCAGCTCCCCTCTGCGCTCCCACTGCGGATGCAGCGTTCGGCCCCGTTGTCGACGCGGCGTGTCGCGATGGGTTCGACTTCACTCTCGTCTTTGAGCAGTCCATCTTTGTCCTTGTTCCCGCGTCGCTGCTTGTCCTCGCGGCGCCTCTGCGACTCATCCAGCTACGCAAGTCGCCAATCAAAGTCGTCGACCACGTATCCCGCGTGATCAAATTGGTAAGTCATCTGATCTACCTGTATCCGCCCTTTCGGCGGTCTTCCTTGATCGACGTGCCGAGAGCTTGAGAATTAACAAAACACGCGTCTGCGCCCCTCGTTTGAATCACAGTCTGTTGTAGGTTGTCTCGCAGCTCTTCAGCTCGTCCTCATCGCCCTCTGGGCAACCCATGATGGGCCTGCGCGTCTGAGCAGTGTCTCTGTTGCTGCTGCCTGTGTCTCCTTTGCCTCTAGCCTCATGTCCTGTGCCCTCTCGTATTTTGAACATGGCAGATCCCTTGGTCCCTCGTCGCTGCTCAATGTCTTCTTGCTCGTGTCTCTGCTGCTCGACGCTGCTGTTTTACGAACCGTGTGGCTCTCCCTCTCCACCGTCGCTGCCATCCGGGCTGTTCTCACGGCTTCGTTTGGTGTCAAGACGGCGCTGCTCGTGCTTGAGGCGAGAGAAAAGTCGGGCCACGTTGTTGGCCGGCACACTCTCGCCCCGGAGGAGACATCCGGCCTGTATAGCCGGGCCGTGTTTGCGTGGGTTGCTCCGCTTCTCCGGACCGGCTTCCGGCGCCTGCTTCGGCCGGCCGACTTGTTCCCGCTCGACGAGAAGATGAGTGCGTCAGGGCTGAACGAGAGGTTTTGGTGGCATTGGCGAAAAGGTTGGTGTTTCCCCTCCTTCAAACCCCCCCCATTAGATAGTCGTAAACAAAATACAATACAAACCTTAAAACGTAAATTAAAAACCGTAGAAGCTCGCTGGAGCTGCACCCTGTCGGAGTCCGTCGTTTACTAACATGGCGAAACCGGTTCATGTCCAGCATCTCCCTCGACGCAGACGAACAAGCATCGCCTCATCTTCTGCTGTATCGTCACTCTTCGCTCTGCCATCATCTCTGTTATTGTCCCGCGGTTGTTTCTCCTTGCCTTTACCATTTGCCAGCCTCTGGTCTTGACCCGCTTTCTCGGCTTTCTCAACGATGAGGCGCAATCGGTCAACGTTGGCTACGGGCTCATTGGAGCTTACGGACTCGTGTACCTGGGCATCGCGGCCACGCAGGCGCTGTACTGGCATCAAAACGGCCGCTGTGTGACGATGCTCCGAGGAGTCCTTGTGTCGGCTATATTTTCCAAGGTCACCGAGGTGAGCATCGTTGCGGTCGACGATTCTGCCGCCTTGACTCTCATGTCTTCTGATGTAAGTCGAAATCCGCTTGCTACCTACCACCCAATGTCTTTTGGGAGGATAACTGACATGTTCACGTTTTTACTGCTGTAAAAGGTCGACGTCATTGGCCGTGCTATGAGGCAGATTCACGAATTCTGGGCCAATGTCTTTCAGATTGCAATTGCGACCTGGCTTTTAAGCAAGCAGATTGGGTATGCGGCAGCAGGGCCCATAATCGTCTCTGTTCTTTCGCTGGGGGCGACCATGTTTGTCTCGCCACTTGCGCAAAAATATCAGGTTGGTTGGCTTGAAAAGACTCAGAAGCGAGTTGGTAAGTCCCAAAGATACCGAACAATATTTTGAATTCATCCCATTCCCATGTGGCATTTTCGTGCACAAAAGCTCACTTATACAGGTATAACTTCTGCCATGATTGGTCACATCAAGAGCATCAAAATGTCTGGTCTCTCCAAACACCTTTCCGACACCATTGCTGCTCTTCGCGTCCAAGAAATCACCGCCTCCAAGCCCTTCCGAGTGGTGGGAGCAGTGACATCTTCGGTGGCCCAAGTGCCGCTGCTTCTCTCTCCGGTTCTGGCTTTCGCCATGTTCCAGGGCATTACGGCGGCGACGGGACAAGTGCTCGATGCTACACGCATGTTTGCCGCGCTTTCGCTGATTACGTTGCTTGCGCAGCCTCTGTTTTGGATTTTCGAAGTGGTGCTGGATATGAGTGCTGCTTTTGGCGCGTTTGACCGAATCCAAAAGTTTCTGGCCAGCTCTACTCGGGACGAGTACAGGACTGTGGATACGGCCAATGGGATGGATTCAACGACTGTCCACACTGGGGAAGAAGCTGGTTTGATTGAGCTCCAGACTCCAAGGTCTCGCACCTCTCGCGCATCTTTGTCGAGCCTCACAGCCACTGCCGTTGAGGTTGAGGATGCTACGTTTGCCTGGACGTCAGATCGACAGGTCTTGAATAATACCAGCTTCTCTCTCACCCGTGGCCAGTTTGCACTTCTAATTGGCCCCGTGGCATCTGGTAAGACAACTTTGCTCAAAGGACTCTTGGGAGAGGTGCCATATTGCAAAGGAAAGGTCTTTCTAGCTAGCAGCCGTCTTTCTTGGTGCGAACAGACTCCTTGGATCCTGGTAAGCGGTGAACATCGTCAACTTTGAAGAGCCTGATGTCTGACCGTTCTTAGAATCAATCTATTAGGGACAACATAACAGCGTACTCCCACTTCGACCAGGACCTATACGACCAGACGATCAAGGCGTGTGAACTTGAAGAAGACTTTAGGCAACTTCCCCAGGGAGATTTTACCAGTGTTGGCAGCAAAGGGCTCGCCCTCAGTGGTGGCCAAAAGCAGCGAGTGGTGAGTCCATCGTCTATTCTTATATACAAGCACGGGAACGACCAAGTCTCAAATTCACCTCCAGGCGCTGGCCAGGGCTGTGTACTCTCGACCCCGTATCGCCTTGTTTGACGACATATTCAGCGGACTGGATAACGCTACCTCGCAGCGCATTTTTAGAAACTTGTTTTCTTCTACGGGACTATTTAGAAGATGGGGAACAACTGTTGTATTGGCTACACAAACTGGTAGGCTCGAGATTCTTGCCCCAAACACGTTTTGCTAATACCTGCTAACGCGTTGGTCAAGTCGAATTCCTTGCATCGGCCGATCTAATAATCGCACTAGGTCGAGAGAGCAAGATAATAGAACAAGGGTCCTTTTCTCAGCTCTTAGCTTCAGATGGATATGTTCAGAATTTGGCCGCCGAGCGAGCCATGGCCCCCCATCCTGAAGTTCAAGATGAGGCTATTTCAGAATCCAGAGCCGAAGCTGCTGCACCAAAAGTGGAATACAAGGCCAAACAAGTAGAGATGAAAGATGATAAACGTAGACAGCTCGGAGATTCAACTGTCTACAAGTACTATTTCGGTAGCATTGGATCAATCTTCATCATAATCCTGCTCTCTCTCGAGATCGTCTGGGCTTTCCTCCAGAGCTTTCCAAGTAAGTTGAGAATCCAAGTCAAAGATGCTACACACTGCTTTTTTTCTCATCTGACTTGTACCTAATAAACTGTCTAGCTGTTTGGCTCAAGTTCTGGACAGACACGAACAGTCAAGGACACACCCGAACGGGATTGTATCTTGGAGTCTTCTCTGCTTTGCAAATAATCGGCGTTTTCTGGTTTGCCTTGCTTATATGGTTAGTTATAAATAAGAAGAATGATTTGATGAATCCTAAAAGCTGACACAAATAGGTTCGTTCTCGTCGTTGTCGCGGCAAAATCGGGAGTGTCACTTCATCATAGACTCCTCTTAGCCGTTGTTAGGTATATCCCATGTTTTTACTGTAAATGACCGATCTCAAACTTACCATTCCCAGTGCACCACTGTCACTCTTTACAACGACCGACTTGGGCTCGATTACCACAAGGTAAAGAAGTACCAACTCCTGCCATTCCCACAAGCCTCGGTCGCTTAACATGTGCATCTTAGATTCTCTCAAGACATTGGCATTCTTGACAATAACCTCCCACTCGCACTTGTGGTAACAATAGCGAGTTAGTAGAGCACCGTATTGTATTATCCATTATTCAAACCACTAATCAGAGCATATAAACAGGCTTCTTCGGGGTCCTTGCTAGAGCAGGTCTTCTCGCGGCTTCATCCTACTACGTAGCCATCAGCTTCCCCTTTCTCGCCGCCTTGTATTACTTCCTCCAGCGCGGCTACCTTCGCACGTCGCGACAGCTTCGTCTCCTTGACCTTGAGGAGAAGGCACCGGTTTACACGCAATTCATGGAAACGCTCTCTGGAATTTCCACGATCCGAGCGTTTGGATGGCAAAACCAGGCCATCTTGAAGAATCACCAACTCGTCGACTCATCTCAGAAGCCCTTCTATCTTCTCATCATGGTCCAGCGATGGCTCGTCCTCGTCCTCGATCTGACCACCACGGCGCTCGCTCTCCTCATTGTCGGGTTTTCCGTCAAGCTTCGCGGATCAGTTTCCGTTGGGCTCACTGGCGTGTCGCTGGTCCAACTCATCACCATGAGCGAAACGCTGAATATGCTCATCCAGTTTTGGACCTCGATTGAGACTTCTATCGGGGCCGTTGCTCGCATCAAGCAATTTGCCGAAGAGACCCCAGACGAGAGTCTTCCGGGAGAAGATCAAGAGGTGCCTGCTAATTGGCCAGACAAAGGACATGTTGTCATACAGGCTCTTGAGGCATCGTATGACGAGAGCGATGGCATCAAAGCTCTTGATGGCGTTACGCTAGACCTGAAGCCAGGGGACAAGACTGCCATTGTTGGGCGTACAGGAAGGTGTGTTTCACTCTTTTGATCTTCAAAACTCCTTTTACAGCTGGACCTAACGTGTCTACCTTTATAGCGGTAAATCCTCGCTCTTGTTAGCCATCCTCCGCCTGCTCGACCCATCTTCTGGCACTCTCAGCATCGATTCCGTCCTCCTCAGCACCATCCCTCGCGAAAACATTCGCTCCCGCATCGTTACCGTATCCCAGGACCAGTTCGTTCTCCCCGGAACCATACGTCACAACATTGACCCGTCAGCCTCCTACACCGACGACGCCATTGTCGAAGCCCTGCATGCGGTCGATCTATGGGCCGTGATCGATTCTCGCGGCGGCCTCGACGCGACTTTTGAGGAGGATATGCTGAGCCATGGGCAAAAGCAACTCTTTTTCCTCGCGAGAGCTGTGCTGAAGAAGGATTGCGGTAAAGTTGTTCTCTTGGACGAGGCCAGTAGCAGGTAATATCGACACACACAACCTAAACAATTGTATCAAAACTGAGACTAACCAATGAAACAAAAAAAATTGAAGCCTAGACAAGGAAACAGAGCAGATGGTCCGTACAATCATCAACACGCACTTCAAGAACCACACTGTCGTCTCCATCGCCCATCATTTGGAAACGATTCTAGATTTCGACCGCGTCGTGGTCATGGATAAAGGCCGTGTTGTGGAAGTTGGACCGCCTCGAGAATTACTTCAGTCTGCTGGCCATGGCAAGTTCAAGGCTCTGTGGGAGGCAAATAACCGCGGAGCACCCAACTAGATTGATGTGGCCGGCTTCTTTGGGAAAAGGAAGAATACTGCTGCAGCGAGATTCTCGAAAAGCTAGGGTTCTTGCATTCAACATTCGAAATGCACTTTATTGATCAACTGCGCAATGCAACCTCACTAGCTCAACCTGGTAGAGATGGGAATATTAATCATTTTGCAAAAGAATACGCCAGGTCTATATCTAATACATGTCGTGTTCCAACCTTGTGTTCAATAATCTATCCTGTTCCTTTCCACCGTAATGATCCTGCCCTTTCCTCCACGTGCAGCCCTGATATGTCTCTCTACATTAGTAGCAACGTCTACAGCCTCACGGTAAGCAATCCGCTCCGACGGAAGAGCGTCTTCTCCAGGGGTCCACCCGGTGTATATTCGAAGCAGCGTAACCTTCCCCCACGATCCGACCCAGTCGACGAAATCATGTTCCGAATGCAACATCAGGGCTTTGAACCACGGTGCGCATCCCGTGAGGTCGAGAAACTCGAGTGCGTAGAGGCTTCTGCTGAGCATCCTTAGCACCAACAGAGCCTCGCTCCAGTCATGATCTATGGAGTGAGAATAGTAATTCGTCCCTCCGTATGCGATATTCTGGCCCTGCGGTGTAGTGACCGTGGAGAGGCGAGCTCGCGGGGTAAGAGATGGGTCGGGCCAGTAGGCAAGGCTCAAATGAGTGATGGTGGTAAGCTTTGGTGACAGAGCCAGCAGCTGTCTCCACGATGCTTCCGAGGCCAATTGGGGGTCGAGAGCGAGTGACAGATGCGTGAGATTCGGTAGCAGTACTCGTGGAGGACTTGGAGTGGTCTCGCTCTCGTCCCAAGATTCTTGCGGTTCAGTGGAATCCTCCTGCTTCTTTGACGGATACAGAAGCTCGGAGACTTCCTTGAGGCTTAGGGAACGGCCTAAGGAGCCCGATAAATCCAAGTAGTTCACCTCGGCATTGACAGATGTATGGTAGTCAGAGATGCCATCGTCTTCTGCCTCGCCCAGAGATTCTGGAGAGGGGAGGAGTATTAGTCTAAGGTCTTGAACCGATAGACCATCCGGGCTTGCAATGCCGACCCATCGAATGAGCGCAGCCTTAAGATGTGCAGGAATGTAATTCAGATGATACTGGTTAAACACGCGGTGAAGCTCCCAGTCAGCAGCGATTTTCCTGAGAATGAGATTGATGAGACTTCGCGGAGCTGGCAGATGCGTGCCCGGCAAAGTCGAATCGACGAGGCCACACCGGTTCACGGTCGACGAGCCGGACGCCTGGCCTCGGAGATGCGTAGCACCGCTGCTGGTAGCGACCCAGCTTCGCGGAGGAGGAGGCCCAGCTGGGAGGCGGCGGCCATTGTTGTCCAGCCTCTGCCTGTGCTGCCGTCTGGGTGCGGGGGTTGGAGTGTCTGGGATCTGCAGTATCTGCCTGAGGGCCGGCGGCACAGATGGTGTGACGGTGGGCAATTGCCGCGGAGCTGACGAGTCGAGAGAGGCGTGCCGCAAGCTGGCCAGCAGCTCGTTGACGCTCCTGGGAGTCTTGCCTGTGCGGGAAAGCGATGGATTGGGGTCAGATCAGCCATCCCGCCAACAACATGAACCCGGCAAAGGAATAAGGCGAGCTGCTCGGGATGAGATGAGACACACTCACCAGCTGCGTTGGACGAAGACCCGGGCGCCGGAGAGGCCGTCGGGGCGGGCTTGAATGGCTTGAGATGCTGCCGTTTCTTAGGCATGCCAGGGAGCCAAAGAACAAGAACAAAGAAACGTGCGCTGTGTTACCGGAAGCTTGCAGGAACCAAGTCGCGAGTTGCGAACCGCTCATATACTTGGTACCAACGATTTCGATGACTCCGACTCCAGGCATCCCAGATGACTCCTCCAACCAGGCATGGATTGGATGTTTGCAACGTGCAAATTGAGGAGCCACAAGCCGGACACTAGGCCCGGTTTAATCGATCCTTTGGCCAGACGGACCCCCATCCCATGCATTCCGCCACCTCCATTAGTTATTATCCATCCTAGACTAACAACTAACAGTACCTAAGCATCTCTCTCCGTCGTCTTATACTGAGGGTCGCAATTCATTCTCCTTCTCCTCAGCGGGCATAGCCGGCCGTTTGCTGGGATCCAATTCCATACATGTAAGCAAAAGCCCGGCTGCCTGCATGCGCCACCACAGGTCTAGAAGTCCAACAGAAATCCGTCGTCAGTTGGTTGTGTCATCTTTGGGGCCGTGCCTCATTACCCCTGCCATTTTGCCGTGGTGGTGTACTCGTACAGCCAAGTGACTTTTACTGACTCGGCCATTACCTTTCCACGACATGGACTACCATGTGTTGATTTTTCTGTCGACTGAAGCTGGGATGGGCCCTTACGAAACGCGCGTGGATTTTCCAGGATGAGTGGCCTTGTTCGTCCAAGAATTCGTTTGGAGCTGCAATCAATGGATTATACAGGTAGCCAGAATAGCTCTCCATCTCTGATTCTCTGCCCTACCACTTTCTTTCCACTTGGGCGCAGCCAAGTTTAGATCCAAAAACTGAGCACGTTGCCTTCGTATTCAGTGGAAAATCACTATCTGGCTATGTGGCAACCGCACAAATTGGTTTGATAACAAGGGAGGCGGGTATGCATTGTAGATGCATGTACCGGCGCGTCTTGGCTTCCCTATGGCTCCGCCAGCTCTGAGCTGGTTATCAATTTCTTCCATCCGATGTAGATTATAGGCTGCTTTTACCAGCACCGCTCCCGGATTGCGTTTCATCTCTGTAGAATTAATCAACCAGATTATGCCAATTGTGAAGTTCCGTGTTCCACTAGACCTGTAAAATACGCAGCCGGGCGCTATATACATGTACGCACTCCATCGGCCCTTTAACTTCGGAAAGCCGTCAAAAGGATATCTGAGACTGTCCGATCCTGCAGTGGGTTCAGCTTCATCGGATAATGGATTCTCTCGAAACAATTTAAGCCCCCAAACCGTCCAACGGACTGCTGCCGCACCTACGCGTCGTTCCGTAGACTGGGATGTCTGAGTGAGTGCTACAGAGTTGCTTGGGCCCCGGAGATAGCATATGCCTTCCGCTCAAGTGGCGTGAGATGCTTGGACGCCTTATTTGAATCCGCTTCTGTTAGAATGGGTATCTATGTACATGATTCCGGCCATGTCATATTGATAACCGTCGAAACGTCCATCTAGAGAGTCTCCATGACGATGTTTCTTGATAACAATCAAGTTGGTAGGCCCCTCTCTACTCCGCAGCTTTAGCCACCGCTCTGGTGCCTCATTGCTCATCATGATCTTTTTGAATTTCCTTGCCGGACATCCAACAAGTACGGTTTAGCCATTAGTCAAAAGTCAAGAACGTAATTGAACTTTGCCCGTGTGTGTTACCACCCTGCTCCTGATGCCCAGCACCGTAGGGTGGAGTAGGGGGCAAACCTAGAGAGGAGAGGCATATGCTCATGGGCCTCTGGCGCGGTAAATAGCAGCTATCCCCATTGCTACCGGATAGAATGGTGGTCATCGTAATACTTGCCTCATCGGCTACGTGGAACCATGAGGCTACGTAGCCCGATGTGGAAACGCGAAGCGAGAAAGCGTGAAAATCAGGAGATGGCTAAAGAGCCTGAGTGACGTGAAGGGCTCTAGAATTGCCCCGACCGTCAAATGACGTTTCAGCATATGAGAATGACCAAAAGAAATCCCATGTGGCAGCATATACGGAGAAACGGGTCGGCATAGCCGATCGTAACCTTCGAGACCTAGGTAGGGAGTGATATCTACATGTAGGTGGCTCTCAAGGACATGGAGCCTCTTGTTTTAGGGCATCCGCATCCATACAGAGCTGCCACCAACATACCCGATGCCTCCTGGTTAAAAAAAAAAAAAACTGGTCCATGCAGCTAAGATACTGGTCAACAAAGTTGCCTTGGCTGAACTTCTGCCTAGGTGTATATGTAAGAAAGGGGCAATTTTGCGGATATATGATGGCGATGTACGACATACCACGAAGGCAGAGCGGCCTGGAATTGCGCCAAGGATGGATAAAGAGAGAGAAGGGGGAAAAAAAGAAGCGAGGACGCTGCAGCTCGGGATTCTGATTCCTTCCGGCCAATCATAAAGGAACGACTGCTCTGAAGTAAGAGGAGAAGATATAAGCAGTTACCGGGGTATACTTACGATAGGTACCATGGTAGCTGATGCGGGAGTTTGGTGTTGTTTGTAATACAGCAGTATCATGAATAAAAGGTTGAAATTTCATAACATATCTGAGGACAAGAACGACTTAATGCTATTCTCCTTGGCGGGATAAAATAGTAATCGAACAATAAGTAGTAATAGGCACTGCCAGAGATTTCAATAAAAAAAATGCTGAGGACATATAGCTGCATTTGAAATTCTTTCTCAGCAACAAAGTGTTGTGATCTCCCATCATAGAGACAAGTTGGAATATGAAAAACATAATCTTCGTTCATAATGGCTGGCAATCAACCAACGCTCATCTGTAGCCTAGATGGGAGACAAAACTTCACAAGCAAATCCTTGTTCACAGCAGATACTCGTACTCTCAAACAACGGGATCCGCTGTCATCAAGGCCTTGCTAGGCAATATGGCATCTGATTTTTCAAATTCATTAAACATGTAGGTCTTTAATTCAACCTTGAGGCATCAGGTCACTAACCGTGAAATAAGTAACTCGAAAGTACCAGTCAAACAAGGTCATTTGGGGGAGGGGGTGCAGAAAGGGAGGGAAAGTCAGCTGTAGCAGCCTATGCCCTCAGAACACGTTGCCGGCCTTGGCCACATCGTTTTTAGGGGGATGCTTCATATCATGTGCGTAGCCGGAAGGGAGGGATAGCGGCGAAGACAGCACCCCCGATCTATATTGGTGCTGACGTAGCAGCCGACATGAGCATCGAGCGCTGAGGCATTGCGTCAGTTTCAAGAGCGAGGCAGACAGACGTTGGTTTTGGGACATGGCCGAACATATGGCCTTGAAGCAGCAACCCTCCATCACATGAACCCTTTACTGACTGCGGACTGTCGGAGAGATGCCTCCCTTGGCTAGCCTTGACTCGACTCGACTCGACTCGACTCGACTTGAAGATACCAAATGCAGCTCGAGATTGGCCTGCACTCGAAGCCGAAGAACGGAGCAAAAAGGAGGCAGTGGCAGAGGGTAGAGACAGAAAGAGGCCGAGGCCAAATCAACGTAGGAGTGTGTGTCAGCTTGTCTCTGATACACACCATTGTGCGTAGTCCGGAGCGTATCCGAGTGACTGGAGAGAAGGAAACTGGTTGGTGGCACAAATGTTGGAACCAAGGTGATACGACAAAGTGTCTCACTTGCGGTCATCAGAGCAGCACTGGCCATGAATCTGATCGGTGTCACAGGCTGGGCGAGCAACGTTGATAGCGTCGGCCGACGAGTTTGCGTGTACGACCACGGGAGTATGAGGTATGGGTGATGGCATTGCTAGCTTCCCTCCTCTGATGAGGTCGCGTTGGGTGAGGTGACTGGGCGGGCATCAGGGCGTGAAGCTGTCCATCTTCCAATTGCCTGCTTGCAGAGGCCTCGGGCGAAGTTCGACTCGACCGACGCCCCATTCAGGGGGCGTGGATTGAGCATGGATGCAAGCATCGCGTGGTCGTATCAAGTCCGAGATTAGAGCTCAATCGCTTCAATCCACGGGCGGATGAGCCGTGCCATGTTTGGGATTATCTTGGTTGGTTCTGGTGTAGCACATTTGCAGGTGGAGGTGAGTTGGTACACATCTACATGTACCTGGGTAGAGGTGCCGGACCTTGCTGAGGTACCTGTAATGGACAGTACCACCCGATACATGATGGAGAGAACAGAGTGCGGATGTGGTACCTCCAGCTCCATCACCGATCAATGGCGTCGCGGTGTAGCTGGCCGCACGCATTGATTATCATCTGGTACCACCCAGGTGCCGGCCAATCTCGGTGAACTGGCGATTGCCATTTGATGATCAACGAACCGCCCCTCTTCTCCAGATGCTAACCCCCTGTGATCCGACCTTGGAACCCTGTAGGCCCCGTAGGTGCTGCAAACAAGCCCCCCAGAGGCGCTAGCAACCCCTAACCAAGAGGATCCGGCCCCGTTGCCAGGAGCATTACAGGGAGACCTACAGGCGGCAAGGGCCCATATGGCGGAAGGCTTGCGGCTCAGGTATGGAGACCCGTGGCCTGGAATTACTCAGAAGAGCAACTGGGCAAACGCGCAGCGGCCAATGAGTGGCCAGGACGCAACGACCCAAGGCCAATAGGTACCTGTCCGGTACACGTACTCGTACATGTACCCTCCACTCCAGCCGGTCAGGACACCAGACAGCCTTGGACTTCTCCTACCTAAGCTTCCCGTCCCGTCTGCAAAACAACCTGACCCAACAGACAACCCAAGACCGCTTCCCGGGTACTTGGGGCGCGCTCCGAGTCATTGCTGGCTCTCGCATCGCCCCCCTGCTCACCGGTTGCAAGCACGATACGGCACTCTGGCCGTGATGGAGACATTCGTCAGGCAGTGGGCGAATCAGCGTGTCGAGGATGCAAGCAGTCGTTGCGGCAGCATCACTCAGCCGCCCCTAAGTCCGAGCGTGAGACAAACGTCCTCGACAGCTGAGGCCTGACGACCCTCGCAAATCCCATTGCGGCCTTGCTGGCTTTTCCTGGTCCTGGTCCTGGTCCTGGTCCTGGTCCTGGCCTGACTTGACCTGACCTGACCTGACCCTAGCTGGGTCTCTTCGGATGGCCGACGAGGATGGGGACGGACGAAAACTGCAAAGACAAGGGGGACCTGGGATTGGATTTGGCCCACGCCGACTCGCTCGTGTTGGGCCTCCTCTAGCCTGCGATGCAGCGACAGCGACAGCAGCAGCAGCAGCAGCAGCAGCAGCAACAGCAACGGCAACGGCAACAGCATCAAGCAGACGCAGATGCAAGGAGCAGAGGCAGCCATCGCCTCACCCGACTGGCGACAATGCTCAAGCTCAGCGGCCCCCAATTCCCGTGTCACGCCGTGCCGTTGCTACTTTGGACTTTGGACGGCCAAAGCGGTGGCACGAAGAATGCAAAACATTCTCTGGCCCTACCTATTGCCTCGTTCTTGAAACTCATGGCACACAAGCTGTCCAATTCATCTTCCATGCTCAGGGCTGGCTCCTCCTGTTCGTATCGGGATTGGAAATGCGGAATCACAGTTGCGATTTGTCACCTCGTACAGAGATCTATCTGATCTCTTTCTTCGTTACCTGCCTCGGTTTGGCTGCCCTGTCATAGCACTGGGGGTTGGAAACCCTGCTGGGCACTACCATCAAGGCATTTGATTCCATCTACTCTTCTGGCAAGCCTATTTGGCCAATTACCTCGTCAAAAACAGCTTGTTCTTGTAAACCGGCGTGAATTCTCAGCAACGGGCCGATCCGACCTGGCTCTAAACGCCTCCTCCTCCTTGGCAATTTCGACGCTTCGTTCATTGTTTGCTCTTACAGGCCGAACATTGCGGCATCGTGGGGCCTTCTCTTCTCAACCAAGCGCACCGCCTGTGCTCTAACGCCCCTCCAGGGACTTGATGATGTGTACAGGACGCGGTGGCTTGTTCCAAGAGCGTTGCTGCCCTGGTCGACTGAAAAGTTACACAGACAAATAGTGCCTGCGTGGCCCCCTAAACATCCCCATTGGAGAGCTCCCTGGACTACGGCCCAGGGCCTTGCTTGCCTCTCCATCTATTCCTCCGTTCTCGGATCGGCTGATCAGAGACGGCAAAAATCCACCTTGCTCGGGTAGATGGTCTCGCCATTGGCTCCTATTATCAATCCGTTGCCCTCGAGCGTACTAAAAACAGACGCTTCAAGGGCAAGCTGGGCACTCTTGTCGAGTTTGTAGCCGGTCACGATTTACAAGCCAACAACTGCGATTCGTTGACATCGCCATCACGGCTCTTCTTCTTCTTCTTCTTGCTTTGCCTCCAAAGTGTGTCAGATTATGTGACGCCTACCGGGGGGGCTAACAGCTTGCCCATTAAGCCGGAGGAGAGATAAAACTTGGGCGTCCAAGACTCGCGCGTCGACAACGTTATCTTGACAACCATGGCTACGCAAGCTGTGATACCTCTTAGTGACAAACCAGGCACATCTGCTCAAGTCGAGACGCAAGCTCAGGCTCAAAGCCACGTTGCTTTGAGACGCAAGACTCTTTGTTCTTCTGCCGCTTCGTAGGCTGGTGGGCCACTCGACTACGCTACGTGGCACAATACGAATAAAGGGACAATGACTTAATTAAACAGTCCTAATCATCCAAGAACTCGCCGTGCGCCACGGCTGTAGTATCTTTACTGAGAGAAGATGCGCTCACCTAGAGCCGTATCGTATCGTGGGGGCATTGTTGCATCTTGAGCTTGGCTTGTACTCTGCATCTAACTGGCTACACGTTGATCTGGTTCTCCTCTTTCAACAATCGCATGCACCTACCCGTGCCTTTCTTGGCAACGACCCGGTCAAGGATCTCCTGCTCGACGAGAGGCCCGCGCAATAGCACATTGGAGGCGGAGACATGGCGTCTGGATGCTTGCATGCCTAGTTCCTCGGAAGGGGGGAGGGGTGTGCGCGAACAGCTCAGCAGGCGGTTATCCCAGGTGAATTGAGGCAAGAAAACAAACTTTGACGACCCTTGACGCAATAGCGGCCAGCTGGAGGGTATCTTTAGTCCTGCTAATCAAGGCCAGCCATCTATTCTCAGGCCATGGAAGCGAGCTGCTTGGATTTCCGGGATTGTGTAGCACGCAACCCATTCCTCAATGACCTGACCGCAAATGAGGTTGATGGCCAAGTTATGCTCGCTGTAGTAGGAGCGGGTCGCTTCCCCGGTTCCGCGGCGACATTCGGAGTCTCTGTTTGGCTGGCGTCGCGAGGTGCTTGCAACTGCTTAAACATCACCCTCCGACTCCTGCGGCTTCTTGCTTCCTCCTGTAACTGGGAAACCCTTTAGCTTCACTCTGCCGGTGAGCTCCTTCAACGGCATGCCTCTTATGAGAGCCAGTTATATGCATTATCATGATCCACACAGCCTGTACATCCACGATCTGCCTCGACCGAGCCAATTTAATATTTTGATATACTATACGCATTGAGGGGAGAGGGAGGGGGAAAGTACGTGCCTCGAGTTTCCTCCCCACCATTCCGGGTTGAGTCCTTTCGACCCTGCTTGTCTCAGCAGCCACACGATAGACATCTGCGCTGAGCTCCACAGCCTAACCACCTCGGACTCTCTTTCGAGCCTTTCCGATCTTTGCTTATAAGCCTCGATGACTCTCTCTCCTTCACTCCTTCTTTCCCTTCATCTCATGGCCTTCTTCCACTGCTCATACCAAGTTTACTTCTCACACATACCGGATTCACTTGTAGCCAAGTCCATCTCAACTAAATCTGATATTGTGATCTCTGCCATCATCGTCATTCACAGTCCTTCAGCAAACCTGCACCGTTCTTGTCACTTTCCATACTATACATTCGACACGGAAAAGAGTCCATCTACTCTTCCACAACGTGAGCTACGAGCTCAATACACTCATTCCGCGTACAGAACTGGGAAACCCTGTTGGGGGTGAGTCCTTTCCTTTCTATTTTCATTTCTTCTACCGGCAACACAACCATCTTAATCACTAGTCTTGCGGCGCACAGCATAACACCCACTCAAAGGACAAACCATTTCTTGTCTCTCAACCGGCGTTACCCTTTCTCTAAATGCATTGAGCTATGAGACGGAAGAGAGTCAAACAGCACGGCTTAGGAGCAAAGAAGCTAATCAGCATAGCAGTTCTCTTTCGAGTTGTCCTTTACACAACTCCCTTTTCTACCTCTTTTCGACTTCTATACTACACTTACAGCAGGTGAGAGACTCCGATACTTTGAGTTTGAGAGTCTCTATCGAAACTTTTAGACTCTGATAATGTCGATGCCCATTCTCCTCCTGTGACGACATTAGAAAGCTGATGGATCCATAATCGAGACAGATATAAGCCGAAGGATCGAGAACCTGAGGCTTCCCGACGACATACATGAAGGATCGAGAATAAATTATCCCATCGACGACCCGATTTCATACCCACTTCTACTTGGCGGCAACGGCTTTGAAGAGATCAGGCTACCGCTGATCCAGTTGCGCCTCACCTACGGCTTTCAGATTCCTACAGCCTTCTCAGCCTAATTTTGATCTTGGCCACGGCCATCCTTTATCGCCGGAGATTTTAACGTATGCATTCTCAGCAGCAGAAGGTATTCCGTTCTCTCGCCCTTCTTCCCCCTCTCCTTTTCTTTGTCAATCAATGAACAACAAATCGCTGTGGCAAACTTGCAATCTTGAAGTTTAGCAGTAAGCGGCTTGTTATTCTTGAGATGGCAACTGAAATGGGCGTGCTATCCTCAGCGTATGTGAGCCAAGGTAGCAGTTTGTTTCACAATGAGGTACGTTCTCATGGATATGAGGTTCTTTTGTCATATATTGCACTTTCAGAATCATTGTCTCTTCGCACATTGGCCGCGCCGCCTTTCGCTCGTCCTCGATATCTGCTCTCACTTGTAGCAAGATCTTGCCGTGGGCGATTTCGGCACCATATGCACACGACATAGGCCAGATGCAGACGCCCCCTCCCTCTCGAGACTGGCTTTTGTGTAACCAGCCCCAGCCCACCCACCCACCCACCCCCCCAGCACTGCCTGGCGTCCTTCTTCCGATGTGCCCTTTACAGCCATTGCATGGCTTCTGGGTACTACCCCGAGGCTGAGAAGTATCTCAATGTACCCATGCTGTACCTGGCGCCTCAGAACTGTGTTACCAACGCGCACCCCCTGCGGTCAAATCCAATCTTGTCTCGAGTGCCAAGAGCAGCCTACTAATGTATTGTCTCTAATCTCCTTAGGGCCCTACGCAATAGCTATTGTCAAGGATGCTTTGCTTGTGGCTGATTGGAATACAGCATAACATTCAGAAACAGCTTCAAAGCCTGACCTTGATCCCGCATCGTACCTCAACACACAAATATATGTATATATTCATGCTGGACTCTGATGCTAATGCCTTTTGCTCTTCTAGGATTACGACTCTTCGCCACCATCTTGCGCGGAGCTTGACTATCTCGATATACACTCACAGCCGGGCGATATGAGGTAAGTGTTGTCCGTTACACCAACTTTGTTGATCGTCTTCTCGTTGGCACACCCCATCTGCCTGGTCAGGGTATTGCTGCCCATCCGGAAATTTTTTTTTTGGCCTTCACTTAATCTACCCGTAATGAGGCCCAGAAGCTTCTGCCTTGACAGTGGAGGTTGCCCCATGGACTTGTACCAGGTCCTCTGCCGCTGGCCGCTACATGGACTCATGCATTGGCTCTGTGTTACCATCTATGCTGGCAGGTATAACCAAACCTCTTTGTCTTTGGTTGTACTCAGCCATCTGGCCTTTGAATGGGCCTTCTCTCTCTTACGTCGTTTTTTTTTTCTATTTTTAAATACTTTCCCTCGTTTCTCTTTGACCGAGAATCTTTGTCCTCCGATTGTATACAAAAACAGCATCCTCTTCATCCTGTTCTCCATCCTCTTTCTTCTTTTCTTCCAGCCCTTCCCGCATTTACTGGCTCTAACTAGAGCTCTTAGGTACACCCAGGAAGCAAATACGTCGGCTCTAGCAATAGAGCCCTCGCAACCCCCCGCGCTTCTGAATCTCTACCACCCTACAGGACTTGCGGGAACGACGCAATACACCCAAGATAACACTGCCTTTTACCAGCCGGTGTCTCAAGTATTCCCAGGTTTGGATGTCAGGCCTCGCGTGAATTCCAAGTAAGTTTACTCCAGCAAAGTTGCAATGGTAGAGTGCGCCGGAATATGCACGTATAATTTTTTTTGGTTCTTCTTTTTTTTAACACTGATGCAGTTACAACAGCACGCCCTCAACTGGCATGGCGCAGGCTCACCATCAGCAGCACCGCACCACTGGACTGCCGCATTTGACAGGGCAAGTAAGCACCAGAGACCTTTACTCTCCTGCCACGCCCTCGTTTCGGAGGGCTTCGGAGCACCAGCAGCACCCTGTCAGGTCGCCGTCCTTTCCGGGGGTGCCTCTGCGCCGCCTGCCATTGTCGCCAACCCCAAGCCCACTCACCTCCTATGTCACTCCGGCCGGGAGGATGGAAGCTGGCCAGTTTCAAAACAGACCTTCCGCAACCGCCGTGCCTCCGCTCATGTCTGTCCAGACAGCCGGCTCCCTCCAATATGAGAACGGGA